TATGGTGAAAGTCAGGAGGCTCAGTATGCCTCAAGGACTGCTTTCCATTAATCTAGAATGGTTTTAAAGTAAGCTTTTGGAAAATAGGAAGATTGCTTTCTGTAATCCTTTCTGAAGCCTTTGATTCTAAGAGGATTGTGTTAGAGGAGTTTTAAATATTTTATGCAGCTCTTAAACACTTTTCAGTGGTGAATTAAATCTTTTATTATGTCTGGCTTTGGACTCTATTGGATCATTTTCATTTCTTGCAATGACTCAGTATAGCCCAGGGTGTTTGTCAAGCAATGGCTGAGAAAACCTTTTCCCCCTAGTGTTTTCATGAGTCCTGTTGATTAGCTAAGTGGTGAGAAATGCCACCTGGTGGTTGTAGGACTCTTATTTTCCTCACCGTTCTCAGTGCTTTTCTCCTCCTTCCAGTTGCGATTACACTGGGACAACTGTTGCAGCTTCATACCATATGATTTCAGTAGGTTTAAAAATAGCAAAGAAATCACTAAACCACTTGGCATAAAGATCTGCATTTAGAGAGGATCAGACAAAGTGTTTCAGAAAGAGCAGCGATGCAGAAAGCTCTGTATCAGTCTTAAGATTTTGTAAAATTCTAGTAAAACGTACTGTGATATCCATGAGACGTGTTGATTCTTTCCATTCCTCCCTCCCCAGTCCTTTCCCAAAGATAGCATATATAGACACTACTTGAATAATGTGAATGATAACTTCTTGAAATGAGTGAACGAATGAATGCAGCATGATATTATGTAGTACGGAGTTAGAATTAGCAACATGACCCAAATTTAGAAACAGATGGAACAGTTACAGTTCTCTGAATGTGTAGATGCTGCGCCATTGAAGCCTGTGATTAAACCATTCCTAAATTTATAGTCACAAGGTTAATTTATAGTTTTTGCTGCTTTTAACAAAACTTGGTACTTATTTCCAAAGAGACTGAATTTTCCAACTTAAAGAGTAAGAGTTTCATGAATTAAGAACTTGATTTAACTAAGTGATGCTATAAGTTTATTGTCCAAATCAGTTTGCTCTTGAAAGAGATTGCGAGGTGTCAGTATTTATGCTGTGAGGACAGGATAAACTAGGAGTGTCCCTGGAAACCAGGATGTGTGATCATCTTTCTCCTAGCCAGCCTGTGCGTTATATCCAGGCTTCACTCTAGTTCATAAGTTTTAAACGTCATAAGGCACCACAAACTTATAAAAGATTCTCTTCATTTCTGAAGTGAATATAAATAACCATTGTTCCTTTAAGTTTAATATATGCCCTTACTTTATTCTGTTTTCTAGTTGTGGAAGCAGCATTCTTAACTGCAACCTTCTAGAATGTTGGGGGTGAAAGACTGCATTTATGTTGATTTTTCATCGCTTACAGGTCATGGACTTAGGGAGTTTCTAATGGCAAGGTGGGAATTTTTAAGTTAGAAGAGTCTAACATCACATAACCCTCTACATCTCATATTTTAGTGAAGAAAACTGAGGCTAAAAGAAGCCCTTGCCAAAGTTAAGTGGCAAATCTGGGAGTCATGCCCATGCCTCTGGAATTCTTGTATAGAATTCTTTTCAGTGGTTGTGATAACAACATCAATAATAGTTAACGCTTTTTAAATTTAAAGATTTTATATATTTATTTGAGAAAGAGAGAGTGTACAAGCGGGGAGGGGCAGGGAGAGGGAAAGAGAATCTGAAGTAGTGCATCCGGTAGGGGGGCTTCATCTCACAATGCTGAGATCATGACCTGAGCTAAAACCAAGAGTCCCACGCTTAACTGACCGAGCCCCCCAGGCGCCCCAATAGTTGAAACTTTTCGAGTGCTTACGGTGTACCATGCATCATGCTCAGCAAGTTACACATTGTGTCATTATTCGGTCTTCACCATGACTTTATGAGATTGCTGTAATCGTTATCTCTTTACATATGAGGAAACCAAAGCTTAGAGAGTGAAATCACCAGCTCAAAATCTCACATCTACTTAGCGACAAAGGTGGGTTTTGAACTCAGGCATCTGACTTTAAGCCAGTTATTTTTCACTACCATGCTGCTATTTTGCCTGATTTTTTAAACATTTTTTATTTTTTATTAACATTTAAAGTATTATTAGCCCCAGGGGTACAGGTCTGTGAATCGCCAGGTTTACACACTTTACAGCATTGCCTGATTTTTAAAATTAATTTCTTTAAGAGGTATCCTGTTTCATGTTTATTTTATTTTCGTAAGTACATTGCCTATCCACTCATACATTAGACTGCTTAGAAAAACAAACCAAACCCTCTTGCTCTTTGTATCCTGAAAACCTTGTTTTTTCTCTGCATATGCAGTTAAACAAGGATGTTGTTAGTGCATTTATAAATTGTTTGAGTAAAGCACTTAGAGTGGTTAAAAAAAAGGTTTTGTGAGGGTGAGTATGTGCATGTCCTAAGAGCTTCTAATGTTTAAACTTTCCGTGTGTACGTATATATATATATATATACCTGTGTGTGTATGTATGTGTGTGTGTGTGTGTGTATATATATATATATATATATGTATAAGCTTGTTTAGATAAACTAACTTCTCTATTAATTGGTCTATTTATTAGTTGTTCGGTAGGCATTCTCTAAATTCAGAGAACAGTCTGATTGAAAGCCAGAAATCAATGAAGTTAATTTGGGAGTTTCATTTTCAAATAATGAAATTAAAATTTTTAAATAAATTTATTTAAATTGGGGTGCCTGGCTGGCTCAGGCTTGGATGTCTGCCTTCGGCTTGGGTCATGATCCCAGGGTTCTGAGATTGAGCCCTGCATCGGGCTCTCTGCTTGGCAGGGAGCCTGCTTCTTTCCCTCTCCTACTCCCCCTGCTTGTGTTCCCTCTCTCACTGTGTCACTCTCTCTGTCATATAAATAAATAAAATCTTTAAAAAAAAAATAGGGGTGCTTCAGTGGCTCAGTTGTTAAGCATCTGCCTTCAGCTCAGGTCATGATCCAAAGGTCCTGGGTTCTAGCCCCACATAGGGCTCCCTGCTTAGTGGGAAGCCAGCTTCTCCTTCTCCCACTCCCCCTGCTTGTGTTCCCTCTCTTATTGTCTCTCTCTCTGTCAGGTAAATAAATAAAAAGTCTTTTTAAAAAAATAAAGTATTTAAATAATATTTAACAATTTAAGTAAGTGCACAGAATATAAAAGGATAGAGAATGCAAAAATGCAATTACCTGCTCACATTGGTTCTGATACCTTTTTTTTCCATTTAAAAAAACCTACTGCAGGGGCGCCTGGGTGGCTCAGTGGGTTAAAGCCTCTGCCTTCGGCTCGGGTCATGATCCCAGGGTTCTGGGATCAAGCCCCACATCCGGCTCACTGCTCAGCAGGGAACCTGCCTCCTCCTCTCTCTCTCTGCCTGCCTCTCTGCCTACTTGTGATCTCTCTCTGTCAAATAAATAAATAAAAAAAAAAAAACAACCTACTGCAAACCTAACTTTTTTACATGAGCTTTGAGATAATTTTTAATTCAGCAAAGCCATATTGATTGTAAAACTAGTTTATAGTGTTAGCAAATTGTATCTTGTTTTCCAAATTCTATAATTGCTTTTCGTATAGTTGCACCTAAATTTTCACTTCCATGGAAAATAATTGCTTAAACTGATTTATGAGGTAGGTACAAGGCATCTGGAGAGCTATTTTATGAGGATGTCATTTACTTTACTGTGTATTTTTGGACATAGAATAGCTAATGATTTAGGAACAACTTGAAGACTTAGTCCCTTTTTTTCTGAATATAAGATAATAACATAATTTATCATAATTCCCCATGATAATAGGAGCAAAAATAATGAATCGAGTTTCATGGGAGGTATGTCATTATCCTAGTTTAGAATTTCTGAATGATTACATATTCCTGTTTTTCCTAGTAACTGCCATGTCTCCTGTTTTGGCTGCTAATCCAGTTAAGAAGTCTTTGCTAGACTGAAAATAGAACATGACTTGGTTGCTTAAGGAATCAGTTAATAATGGATGTTTTGTGTTATATGTTCTTATGTATAGTATGCCATGATTAACTTAGTAAACTTGACAGAGGTTATCAGGTTATTAAGAGCTTTGCTTCTACATCTGAGAAGCCATAAACCGGTATCTTTAATACAGAAGACAAAAAAAGACTTAACTGCTTTGTATTGTTAGATTTTTCAGTGAACAAAAGGGTTTATAATTTGTGAATTATAGATTAATAAAAAATAAGGCAGGGGCGCCTGGGTGGCTCAGTGGGTTAAGCCGCTGCCTTCGGCTCAGGTCATGATCCCAGGGTCTTGGGATCGAGTCCCGCATGGAGCTCTCTGCTCAGCAGGGAGCCTGCTTCCCTCTTTCTCTCTCTGCCTGCCTCTCTGTCTACTTGTGATCTCTGTCTGTCAAATAAACAAATGAAATCTTAAAAAAAAAAAAAAAGGCATACCATATCCCTCATTTATATCAGCACTATTACTAATGTAATAAATGTTAAAAATAAAAAATAGTGGAGAGTTAGATCGCTAATAAGTAGGTAGATTATATTTAGAAATCTTATGGGTTTAGTGTTTTATTTAAACTTTTTCTGATTTTTAAAAAGTAAGTGTATTCCATGGTGGCTCAGCTGGTTAAGCATCTGACTCCTGATTTTGGCCCAGGTCATGATCTTAGGGTCCCTAGATCAAACACTGCTTTGGATCTGCGCTGGGCAAGGAGCCCGCTTGAGGTTCTCTCTCCCAGTGTCCCTCTGCCCAACCCCTTCTGGCATGTTCGCTTTCTCTCTTTCTCAAAAAAAAAAAAAAGTAAAAAAAAAAAAAAAAAAAAAAAAAGTATTCCAAAGGTGAGAAACAAGTAAGTAGGAAGTTTTCTTTTTCTTCTTTGAAAAAGAGTAATTTTAAAGTTGCATTTTAAACATTATTCCTTTTATAATTGTCATCCAGTCTGTTTGTAAGAAGGCAGTAGAAATGTTGGGAATTAATGAGTGCTCTACTTTTTAAAAAATCAGTTTCATTTCATTCAGGTTCCGATTGTTGCACTTACTGCCACTGCAAGTTCTTCAATCCGGGAAGACATTGTGCGCTGCTTAAACCTGAAGAATCCTCAGATTACCTGTACTGGTTTTGATCGACCAAACTTGTATTTAGAAGTTGGGCGAAAAACAGGAAACATCGTTCAGGATCTTGTCCAATTTCTTATCCGAAAGACAAAGTGAGGATTTCATGTCGATAAATTTTGGTTAACTATTTCCTTATTTTTTATTTGTTTGTTTTATGAATGTATTTGCTTATTTATTTATTATTTCTTTCTAATGCATATTTAACATATTTCACATTCTGCTTAGCTTTGGTTCAAGTCAAGTGTGATGTTCTATAATCAAGACAACAACTGAGAAAATAGCTTAATTTTGAAGGCAGAAAATAATTCTGGTATTTTGGTACTTCATGTCGTTGCTTGAACAGGATGTACACCTTTTCTTTCTTTTTTTTTTTTTTTAAAGTAAACTTTACGCCCAACATGGGGCTTGAACTCACAATCCTGAGATCAAGAGTCGCATATCCTACCTACTGAGCCAGCCAGGCACCCCTACACTCTTAATAATTGACAAGTATGGGGCGCCTGGGTGGCTCAGTGGGTTAAAGCCTCTGCCTTCGGCTCGGGTCATGGTCCCAGGGTTTTGGGATCGAGCCCCGAGTCAGGTTCTCTGCTCAGTGGGGAGTCTGTGTCCTCTCTCTCTCTGCCTGCCTCTCTGCCTACTTGTGATCTCTGTCAAATAAAGAAATAAAGTCTTTAAAAAAAAACAGTTGGCAAGTAAACTGTAGAAACAACTGAGTCTTTTAACTGAATTTTCTTTAGCTCACTAATTATATGACTAATTGAGTATTAGGGAATTTTAAAAGTCATCTTAATAATAAACATTTTTGAGCCCTTGTTATGTGCCAGGGACTATCCTAGGTGCTTTATATAAATGATCTGGTAATTCTTATAACTGCTTAGTAAGCTACATACTATTTTCATTTTATTGAAGAAGAAGCTGTCACTAGTACTTTTTCCTGTTTCTTTTGTTTGGAGGCATTTTATATGTATACTAAGAAGCTTTCCTTTGTTTTATCTCCCTGATCTGTCTTCTTGGTGAAAAGTTTATAACTGTCACGTTATGAAATGTGTTTTTAAATCAGAGTACATGAAAATAGGGTGCTTGGGTGGCTCAGTTGGTTTAAGTGACTGCCTTCGACTCAGGGGATGGTCCTGGAGTCCCAGGATCGAGTCCTGCATCAGGATCCCTTCTCAGTGGGGAGAGTGCTTCTCCCTCTGACCCTCCCTGATCTTGTGTTCTCTGTCTCTCATTTCTCTTTCTCAAATAAGTAAATAAAATCTTAAAAAAAAAATGAACACATGTGAATAATGTTTGACCTACCAGCACAAACACAAAACAAGTCTGGGCAAATAGTTTAAATAACATCAATAGTATTTTCCTGAAGGACTCCTGGGGTTGGATGAATTTAAATGTAGAATTTAGGATGAATTTAAATGTAGGATTTTCTGTTGGCATAATTGTACTATATTCAGATTAAAACAAGAAAGTAATGGGGGTGCCTGGCTGACTCTGACAGTAGAGCATGTGACTCTTGATCTTGGGATTGTGAGTTTGAGCCTCTCATCGGGTGTAAAGACTACTTAAAAACAAAATATTAAAAAAATAAAAAATAAAACAAGAAAGTAATGGCTGTATTGAGTATTTGCACAGCTCTGGTGATCTCTCTGAAGTGAGTACTCATTGTACTTCACTTCCCTTTATCCTAATCTTTGATCCTTTTCCGTCCATATTATTTTCAATCTCTGTGGCCTTCCCCTAATAACCTTCTCCTTTTTGAAACTGTTTACCTTTTTGTGTGTGTGACATTGTGACATTTTATCTTTCTGACTATATTGTCCTTTTATGTTTTCTTCTCACCATCTTTCATGTTAATTATACTAGTGGGGGTCTCTTAGCCTAGACAGTTATCATGTCCCTTAATAGACCTCCCTCCTCCTCAGTGTTCCTTGCATTCTAGACACAGTTGTCAGATTCATCATCCGAAAGCACATCCTTGAGTCTTGGCATTCCTCTCTGGTGCCTCCCTCTTTCCTGTGGACTAACAGCAAGACTCCTTAGCCTAACATCCAAGACCATCTGAGATTTTTATATTTGTGACAGTGGTTTTTCCGAGATCAAAGCAAGAAAGATTTTGCACTCATTTTCAGTCCTCCAAGAGTTATGGTATCACCAACCACTGCGAGTCAGAATGCTTCCCGTAGACTTTAGGCAAATAGAAATTTTCCTCTTAACAAGCAATAATTAGATGAAGGGTAATTAAGACTTCAGAGTGTTGCCTTTTATTTCTATTTCTTCTCTTTATTTAATTTTGCCATTTTTTCCCTATTCATTGGGCCAACTTGTTTGTTAAATTCTGACCTTATTTGTTTTCTATACTCATGATACATTGAAATTGAATAGACAAGCCTCTCTCATCCATCTAATTTGGTGGTTAGATGAAGATAGATTTCTTTCCTTGCAAGAAATTGTTGTGAGGAAATAACAATGTTTAGTAAACCACTTGGTGAAGTAATGAATCCTTTTGTAATAGAGATAAAATTTTATTCCTCTGATTTCTCTACTAAGTTCAAATGTTTGTGTATTTCTACTTTTTTTAAATGTAAAACTTGATACATGGTCTTAGTATCAATTTGAACACTACAGAAACATGTCAGGTAAGAATACTTACGTCTTCCGGTTCTGTTCTTCATTTATCACTGTTCATAAATGATCACTATTTGGGCATTGAGCTTTATACCCTTCTTTTCTCTAACTGTGCTGTGCAGATATGCACTTCCAGTTTTTGTTGTTAACTTTACGCAGGAGTAGTTACAGAGTATTTCCATATTTTAGGCAATATTTTCCTTTGATTTGAAGTGTCTTTGCTTAGATACAGGTTAAAATCTCCGGTTATGAGAGATAGATGTGTTTCTCTTTCTCCCTTTAGTTCTATCAATTTTTGTTTCATGTGTTAAAGCTCTGTTAATTGGGGGCGCCTGGGTGGCTTATTGGGTTAAGGCCTCTGCCTTCGGCTCAGGTCATGATCCCAGGGTCCTGGGATTGAGCCCCGCATCGGGCTCTCTGCTCATCGGGGAGCCTGCTTCCTCCTCTCTCTCTGCCTGCCTCTCTGTCTACTTGTGATCTCTGTCTGTCAAATAAATAAATAAAACCTTTTAAAGAAACAAAAAAAGCTCTGTTAATTGGTACAGACACATTTAGGATTTTTATATCTTCAGTAAATGGAAACTTTTATCATTATTAAGAAAAAGCATTTTTGCTATCTTTCTGCATAATGTGATTTTTTAAAAATTAGGGCCCTGATATGTAGGATATTACAATGTTCACATTTTGGCTAAAAATTTTTCTTCTTTGAGAAATGTTTTTAAAATGATGATAGTTTTGTGAGGGGCGCCTGGGGGGCTCCGTCAGTTTAAGCTCTGACTCTTGGTTTTGGCTGTGGTCATGATCTCATGGGTTGTGGTGTCCAGCCCTCTGTCAGCCTCCGGGCTCAGCAGAGAGTCTGCTTGGGATTCTCTCCCTCTGTCCCTCCCAACACTTGTGCTCTCTTTTTCTCTCGCTCAAATACATAAATCTTAAAAAAAAAAAAAGATATTTTTGTGTATTAAAAAACTTTGTAATTTTTCTCTTTTCCTTATCTGCTGGGACATTTTGTTATGGAAGCCCATTTGGTCACTGTAAAAAATTGCTTTGAGTAGATTATTCAGTAAAACCTGTAGAGTCAAATTATTGCTTATTTTTTCCCCTTTTCAATGACTTTTGCCATAGTCCTTCTTAAAGGTTTTTAGATACAGTAATTTTTTGTTGTTTGCTTAATATTTCATAGTATGAATATACATAATGATGAACATTTACTTTTCACTAATATAGTTCTGTTGTGAATATTTGTGTATATGTGTCTTTTGGCAGATATTTGTAAAATAAATTCCTAAAGTTGAAATTGTATCAGAATATATGCATTAAAAATTAAAATTTTTCCCAAATCTAAAATAATACATTTTTAATATTAAGTTGGCATAAATGAATATATTCATGTAAATGAATATATTGAGGCATTAAATGAATGTTCTTTGGAAACCGTCCTTTGCATTTTTAATAAATAAGCACAGGATTCTAAAACAGACTTTCGAACAGATGTTGTCTGTAGTAGTCCCAAGATTACTAGTAAATACTTCTTTGAACTACAAAAATGATCTTTAATATTACAAAAAAGTTACTGTTTTTCTAGTAAACATACATAGAAACTCAATTTTTTGATCACAAGAAAGAGTAAGACTATTCTCCTATGTGAATATTCACTTACCTTTCTTATGTAAATGAAGACTAATCCTTCATCTGGTGCTTTGCATTCTGAAAGTATGGAAATTGAATTTCCAATAGCTTGTTAAGTTTTTATCAAGGCTTTTACTTAAATAAACTTGTCTCTGGTTTTAACTTTAATTTGAACAAAAGATGAGTCGAAGGTGTTTGGGATTTAATATAATTCATTCCCACATTTGACTTTCCACATTTTTATGTAATTAAATGTATCATTGTTTTTTAGATGCTTTCTTTTTATAGTGTTTTACTGAAAAGAAAATTAATTAAAATTTAACAAATGAAATTTAAAGTTTTAAAAAGAAAGGGGAAATTAAATAAGATAATCTCAAACAGATTATTTATATATATATTTATATGTTTTTGTTCTTTTGTTTGTGTGTGTTTGTTTGTTTATTTGATTTTAGTACCACCTGGGAATTTGAGGGTCCAACTATCATCTATTGTCCTTCCAGAAAAATGACAGAACAAGTTACAGCTGAACTTAAGAAACTGAACTTAGCCTGTGGAACATACCATGCAGGCCTGAGTGTTAAATCAAGGAGAGAGGTTCATCATAGTTTCATGAGAGATGAAATTCAGGTGTGAAGATCCATCATCATTACTCTCTATTCCCCATGGAAACCGATGTTTCTCTAATATTTATTTCCCATATCTTTCTCTTCTATCTTGTTTTCTCTTCTATCTTCTATCTTGTTGAGTATAAAGAAGTTTCTCTCAAAGGGAATTAATGTAAATATGGGTGACAGGTGAACAGACCGTTTCAGGTGAGTACAAAAAGCAGGCTGCACATAGTGCTTAGGTACATAGAGGAAGGAATGCTCGCTGTTAAGGTAGCTTCTGTTGTGATGATCCAACCAGGAAGAAGCAGTTTGAGCACAGAATCTGAACAAGTAGGTGGAAGTTTGTCGGGTATGTGAGGCCAGTGCGTGATGAGGGCAAAGGGCTTGGTTATGGAATTCCCAGGAAAGGGACTAGCATTTGCAAGGACACTGTGGTAGGAAAGTGCATACTGGGTTTAGGAAACTGGGAATAGTTTGGAATGGTTGGAGAGAAAGAGAGTGTGGAGTAGGATTGGTACAAAGTATAGGTTGAAAAGGCAGGGAAGAACTGTTAGAGACTCACAGGAAAAAAGTTGAATGGTTTGGTTGGCCAGGTTATGGAGAAGGGCCTTAAAATTTGCAAAGAGGCAGGCTGGGATTGATGTAAATAATGTAACTGTAGTTTTTCTAGACCACTTTAGCCTTAGAATTTTTAATTTAAATTTTCATTTAATTTTTTAATTCATTTTTATCTATTAGGTAAGACAAATCGAAGTGGATTAATTCTTGTCGAAGTTGATGTGAGAGAAAGAGATCCAAGAGACTTCCATTCTCCCAAGACAGTCCCTGGGGGTATTCTATAATTCTCAGAGCTCCACAGAATAGCGTTTGAAAACCATTATGACAGACTAATGTGTGTTTTTGAGCAAAATCATAGTATCATAGAAACATTAGATTAGCAGCCCTAAGCAGGATTGATTTGAAGAGGAAAGACTGAAGGAAGAAGGGGTATCAATGAAGTCACTGTGAAGTGTTCTAGCTGAGATTCCTGTAATGATTGAAATAATGTAATAATTCCAATCTGAAGTGATTGGAATCCTGGTTTAGTGGGTGTCATGCAGAATAGTTAGGAGGACTTAAATTCAGACCATGTTGGAAGGTTTACAGCTTCATGCTGTCAGTATCCTATCCAAAGTCTGTTAAGGCAAGCCTGTGGACTAGGCCTCCTCTGAAGTTAAGACGCGAACTTAACTTCTGCTTTGCATTTTCTGCTCAGAAGGTCTTCCATTTCTTTTCTGTCCAGTTCTGTAGTTGGTAATGATCCTCAAACCAACATTGTTCAAACAGCTTACCTCTAGTATGGTTCATATACACTATAAAGTTCACTATGCACTCTCATGCTATAATGCATACTTACCTAAAAGCATTCTTTTTCTTTCTCTTCTTTCTTAAAAAATTTTTTTTAAAGAAATTTATTTATTTGAGAGAGAGAGAGAGATCACAAGTAGGCAGGGAGGCAGGCAGAGAGAGAGGGGGAAGCAGGCTCCCTGCTGAGCAGAGAGCCCGATGCGGGACTCGATCCCAGGACCCTGAGATCATGACCCGGGCCGAGGGCAGAGGCTTAAGCCACTGAGCCACCCAGGCGCCCCCTTTCTCTTCTTTCTAAAGATAGGAACAGTTATCACAACTGCTTAGAATGAGTTACCTAAATTCTAAAATGTTTATAGTTTTATTCTGTTATCTTAGGAATTTGAAAATTATCAGATAAAATTTATTGGCTGTTGCTTACTGGATCTTAACAATTGATGTTTGAGCCACTAACTGATCAGTGATTTCTTTCATCTTGATTTATTATTAATTACTCATTTAGGTAGAAGCATCTCTTACAGATATGAGAGATTATAAACTTTCTCTGTTATATTGTGAGGGGAGACTTCGTTGGATGCATCTGGTTTTGCTACCCACGTTCAGCTTCAGTGAAACATTGATGCTTTGAAATATGGCTTTAAAAACCTCACAGTGATCACCAATTATACCTAATATCTAGAAAGGTATTATATGTATGTGCCACTGTATTTTCCCTTTCTGTGGCAGGATGCCAAAAAGTTTTATGCACATTAGGAAAATTAATAAATTAGTATTGATGCTGTCACCCTAGCGACATTAGGGGTCCTATCTGACAACTGGCCTCAATGTACTCCTTCTTTGCTATTATAATAAATTGTAAGCTTCACATTTGCATCAAGAGTTCTCAGACACCTCCTCAAGATGATAAAAATACATTTCCTCATCTATATAGAATAGTCTGGTGCTCGTGGAATTGATTACTTGCCATTGAGTATTTATTGAGTGCCTACTGAATGCATACATGCATAGAATTCTAGATGTTCACTCTCTTGTCTTTCTGAAGTTGATTTATACTTTGGTGTGGGCCTGAAAGTAGAGCTCACTTCCCAAGCTCTTCATATCTTGAGTTGACTGATGCTTAGAATCTTACTATTTTCTATTTTATAATTTTAGAAAAAAAATCTTTTTCTTACTATTCTTAACCATATCTAACCATATTCAGATGTAGATTTGCGTTTTTAGACTGTGACCATTCATTCTTACTTTTAGTCCTGATTTTGTTACATGTTCTTTTGTATTTCATTTGCTTTTTTAAGGTCTCAGATTCTTTTCTTTCTGAGATTAGTCTGTGAATAAATTACTTGATAAAATACTTTATTTTCACTGGAGAGTTTATAATGGTGTTTTGAACATCATGTCTGTAGAAGAGGGTGAAAAACAGTGTCATAAATGTGCCTGACTGGCTCAGTCAGTAGAGCATGCGACTCTTGATCTCGGAGTTGTAGATACCAAGCCCCATGTCAGGTGTAGAGATTACTTAAAAATAAAATCTTAAAAAACAAACAAACCAGGATCATATGGTGAAAACTAGATCTTCAAAGTTCTCACCACACACACATACTACATACACACTTACAAATGGTAACTATGGGAGGTAATGGATGTGATAAGTAACTTTATGTGATGGATGTGATAAGTAACTTTATTACTTTATAAGTAATCATTTCACAGTGTATACATATATCAAATTATCAGATTATGCATCTTAAATTTACACAGTGTTATATGTCAACTAAGCTGGAAGAAAATTGAATCAAATACATTTTTAAAGACCTTAAAATTACTATGTTGCTTATTCACTTTCAAGTATAGCAAAATGGCCTAGATTTATTCACTCAAAGCTTTTTCTTTTAAGATTTTATTTTTAAGTAATCTCTACATCCAATTTCAGGCTTGAACTCAAAACCCCAAGATTAAGAGTCAGTGCTTTACCGACTGAGCCAGCCAGGCACCCCTTAAAGCTTTTTCTTAATAAATTTCTATTTCAAAGTTTTTTTTTCTTTCACTTTTCTTATACTTCCTTTTATCTATTTAGCATTTTCTTTTTCTTTCTTCCTCTCTGCCCCCTTCTTTCTGTCTTTCTTCTATTCTTGGTCCATCTTAATAGATTTTTGTAATAGCACTTCAACTTTTATTGGTCATATAGGCACAGTTTAAAATACTAGCTACTTCTGCAATGCTTACAGTGGGAACATCAGCCCCTCCTTCCTTCCCCACTTCTGTCTCCTATTTTCATCTCTCTTAGTTTATTCTTTTGCTGTTTACCGCTAGATTGTGCAGTGATTTGCTTTTACTGTTATTACTTAGTTTTTATTTATTAGATTTTTAAAATTTATTATTAGTTTTCATTTATTAGATGTAGGCATTGTCTATTGACTTCCCACTATGAGGAGTGAGAGTTTATCTCCCTTTCATACCCCTTCCTGCCCTTCTGCTTACACTGTTCATGTATTTCTAATCCCCATCCCTCCCAACATTAACGTAATTTGGTTAGATCGATATATATATTTCTCTGTAAATGTTTTTTATCTCTAAGCCATGGAGTAAATTATAGTTACTTTTATTGCACATCTTCTTTTACTGTTAATACTTTAAAATTTTTTTATTTTTTTTATGTTCTTATCACTCATTCTTCCCTAAAACTTCTCCCAATGATGTAAATATCATTTCAATATGCTCATATATATTAGGTGTCTTTTAAAGTTGCAGAGATAAATTCATGTTCCACTTTACCATCTTTAATGAGAAGTTTCCTTCCATCTTGGAATAATGCTAGAAAATATTTAGATATTTGGTAATCAGGTAAGGACTCTTGAAACTTCATAATAACATGAAGTCCCTTTTAATATAGTAAGTATTTTAAGAATCTATTTTGTGTCTTGTACTCACTCATAGGTGTTCAGGGAGACCACTTTAGTTGCTACTTTTTATAGGGAAGAAATAGAAATCCTATTTTAGGGTTACCAATCTCTAATTCATAAATTGGGCAGATAATCTTTTGATCTGTAAGTGTTGGTTGAAATTATATTAAATTCAGTTTCATGCCAGGGACTTTAGTTAATGAGCTAATTATTACTCTTGCCAAAAGGTAAAGATGTCAGCTTTTGGTTCTGCTACATATTTGTCAAACTATGTTGTTATTTATTCTCAGTGTGTCATAGCTACCATAGCTTTTGGAATGGGCATTAATAAAGCCGACATTCGCAAAGTCATTCATTACGGTGCTCCTAAAGAAATGGAATCGTATTACCAGGAGATTGGGAGAGCTGGCCGTGATGGACTTCCGAGTTCTTGTCATGTACTGTGGGCTCCAGCAGACATTAACTTAAACAGGTAAAACCATTTATTGCTTTTACTTTTGCAGATTTCTTTCTTTCCGTATAAGCTTTGAAAGTATTTTGAACCTGCATCCAAAATTCCAAGTAATGTGTATAAGTGTATTTAAAACCAACCAAACAGAGGACATGTAAGAACCTTTGTGGTTAAGTGTTGCCACCCATAGATGACCTGATTTCAGCTATACCTCATCTAGTGTGAAGAATTAACTATACTGGGAATGGAACATGGATCCTATGGGTGCTTTCCTAATATTGTGCATGGACAAACTCTTTTTCGCCCCAGGTCCTCTCGAGTTTTGGTATGTCTGCAGCCATAGTTTTCTTCAGATAGCATTTATTTTGTTATTGGTTCTTTTTTCCTGTGCTACAATGGTGCTTATTCCAAGTGAATTTTACTATTTGACTCTCTTTACCATTTGTTTCTTTTGTTAGTTCTGTGAAAGCATGCCAGCTCTCCTTGATTGTGTGTGAATACTCGTGTTGCACTACAGCTAGCCATTCACTGTACTGATTGACTGCCATGAAAAACATTAAGTGTTCAGTTAAATGTAGGAAGATCATTCTACTTAAACATGAAACAAGTCTTTTACTGGTACTTGAGTTCTACGAGATTTATATTGGAATGGAAAACTTCATCTTGCAAAAATTTCAGGGGCAGGGTTTAGCAACTGATGCCCTCATCCATAGGAGGATAAAATCTCAGGAAAAAAACCCCTATATATGGTAATTGATGCGGCTGTTAAGATGAGTTATTTTCAAAATGCACATTCATGTTGCTGAATAAACTGAGCTCTTGCGTGGACATATTAGCTCATATTATTAAAATGACGAGAGTACCTATCCAATACAGTTTTTATTTTTATTCATCATTCAGCAGTGTTTTGTTCTGAGTGCCCGCTATGTTTTAAGCATTATGATCTATGCTGGGGATACAGTGATAAATAAAAACAGATATGGTGCCTGCTCTCAGAGAGCTCTCAGAGAATATAATGGAAATGGCAGATCTTAATCACAGATTCTGTGATTCTGTATGTACATACATACAGAGTATGTACCCACAACTCTAGATACACAGGATTCATTGTGTTTGACAATTTCAATAACCAAAAGAGTTTTTAAAAGGGATTATGCAAATCTGTGTAAAAACTACAGCTGTGTTAAGTACTTTGAAGGATAGTTGAATTGTAAGTAAGAATATACTAGATTGCGTATTTATACTAGATTGCGTATTTAAGTTAAAAAGTTCAGGTTAAGTCTTCCTTCAAGAAGTGATAGGGTGAGTTATGAAAGAAGAACAGGGATTAATTAGATAAAAACGTTTGGTGTAAATTTTAAGCTCTTTAAAGAACAGTCATAGCTTTTGTTTCTTAACACAGAGTTAATAAAACCATCCCCTTAAACAGAACAATTATTGTTTTTCTTTTGACGGTTGCCTATGTAAAAGCTTTTTATAAACTAAAATAACTGGGATAGAGAACAGGTCTATCTGATACTATTAAATTTGGGGTTGTATCAAACATATGTTGATTCCTACCAATTCTGATTTATTTATATATTGTACTAGAGGTGCTGAACGTTTAGCAGCCAGAGTTTTATACTATAACTATGCAGGTTCATCAGTAGATATAGTTACTATTTATTTGGGTCTCAAAAGATACTTTATTTTTTTTATTATTTTTTTAAATTTATTTTTTAAATTTATTTTCAGTGTTCCAGAATTCATTGTTTATGCACCACACCCAGTGCACCATGCAATATGTGCCCTCCACAATACCCACCACCAGGCTCACCCAACTTCCCAGTCCCCTCCCTTCCAAAACCCTCAGTTAGTTCCTCAGAGTGCAGTCTCTCATGGTTTGTCTCCCCCTCCAATTTCCCCCAACTCACTTCTCCTCTCCATCTCCCCATGTCCTCCGTGTTATTCCTTATGCTACACAAATAAGTGAAACCATATGATAATTGACTTTCTCTGCTTGACTTATTTCACTCTGCATAATCTCTTCCAGTCTCATCCATGTTGATAAAAAAGTTGGGTATTCATCCTTTCTGATGGAGCCATAATACTTCATAGTATATATGGACCATATCTTCTTTATCCATTTGTCTGTTGAAGGCATCTTGGTTTCAAAAGATACTTTAAATGGTTACCTCTTCTAAGATTTCACAGAAGTAATAGTGGTTAGTAATCAAATAATGGTGCCAGAAAACCCATACTTGAATTTTAGTAAAGACAGGTTGTTTTTTGCATCCATCCTAAGGGAAATACTAAACCTACAGGGTTAATCATGATAAAAGAGAATTCAGTGAGGATTTAGGACAGATCTGTGTCATCCTTGGGACAGATCTCTTCTATTGAAAGAAACAAAGTTTGAGAATAAATGGAGTTTCTTGTTCTCAGTCAAAAGATTACTGTAATTCATAAAACTTTTAGAGTGTATCTTATACTAGAATGCTATGATTGAGAAAAACTTGTCCAGTCATCAGTGTAAATACGTAATTTTTTATTTCTTATTGTAGAAGCAGTACCATTGGCAACATCTCAATGTCTGCATTTGCTATTAAACAGTCAAACCCAATGTTATTGTAAACTTTTTAAAAAGGGAATAATTTGCAGGTTAATTTCAATTTAATAATTCTTCCATCTGGTTCCATCTGATTTGTATTTATGGATTGCTTTTAGAATTTTTTTTCCTTTTCAACTTATTTTTATTCTGTGGAATATTTTACTTTAATAGTCCCAAAAGTAAAATAAATATTTACTAGATTTGCTTTTAGAGACTTGTAATTTTATTTTTTCAGATTCGTTACTGACACTGATAATGAGAAGTTAAATGTAGGTCATCTGAACCAAATACAAGGGAGGCTATAGGACTTAGAGTGTAGGTGTTTGTTTTCTTTGTCCTTCCTGAGGAGAAAGAGGTGAGCTAAACAAATAAATAAAGCAAAAAAAGAACTATAGTTGGTCCTTGAACAACATGAGGGTTAGGAGTGCTGACTCCCCCAGGTAGTCAAAAATCTACGTATAACTTTTGACTCTTCCAAAACTTAACTACCAGTAGCCTACTGTTGACTTGGAGCCTTATAGATAACATAAACAGTAGATTAGCACTTATTTCATATGCTGTATCTATTATATACTGTATTCTTACCATAAATAAACTAGAGAAAAGAAAATGCTATTTTAAAAAATCATAAGAGAAAATGCATTTATAGTACTATACTGTATTTATTAAAAAATTCACAGGTAAGGGCGCCTGGGTGGCTCAGTGGGTTAAGCCGCTGCCTTTGGCTCAGGTCATGATCTCAGGGTCCTGGGATCGAGTCCCACATCAGGCTCTCTGCTCAGCAGGGAGTCTGCTTCCCTCTCTCTCTCTCTGCCTGCATCTCTGCCTACTTGTGATCTCTGTCAAATAAATAAATAAAATCTTAAAAAAAAAAAAATTCACAGGTAAGTGGACCGATGCAGTTTAAACTTGTGTTGTTTAATGGTCAACTATAATTTTTAGGGCATGGGCTAGGAAGAATGAGATTATGGGGAACTAGAGTCAATAGTTGGAAGAGATTTTGGGGTAAATTATATGGAAAGGCATGGTGGTTGGTGGTGTCAAATCATAAGAATGTTTTTGAATAAGCGATCATTTGTATGTTCAGACTTCCCAGAAGTCATTTAACTGGATTCCCTGTTGGTGTCATCTTTGAGAATTGTACGGAGTTATTTTTATCAGTCAGAAGTTTGAATAGTCATAATATTAGTGAGGTCCATTTTGATGAGGATCAGCATTATCAATTAGAGCTTACATGCAAACATTGTTTTCTTTTGAAATATCTGAAATCTACTCAACTCAGACTTCTATTTATTCTTGAAAGAATTCTTGGAAAGACGTGCATCATCTTCTGATATCTGATATTCATGGAATTTCTTCATAGTAAACTAGAATTAACTTTTTAAAGACAAACATGTCTAGTGCTAACAATTTTAAAATAAATTAAGTATTATAGAAAAATGAGTTATAATTGTTCGAGGAAGAATTTAATTCTGATGTTTTATTGGTGTCCCAAAATAGACTATAGTATAAAGGGATAGTTTTAAGGGGGATGAGAAGTCCTCTGAAGAGCAAATAGGGATTAAGGCTTATATTTGGATTTGAACCTCTTTCAGTATGTTTTAGTTTCTCAGATAAAATAAAATAAACAATAACCTTTTACTGGGAAAATGTAAAAATCCATATATAGTGGGAATATTGCCAAAAAGCATGTAGCATATAAATCAAAATGAAAAACTTTAGGGTTTATAATAATTTTTTCAAAGGCAGCTAAAAAATTGATGCTTGAATATAGATACAGAATTCTTTCAAAAGTAATTTTCATAGAAGTTAGAAAAATGCTTGCCTCTTAGGGGCATTGACTTGACTAGAAAGGGACATATAACTTTCTGGGATGATAGAAATTTTTTTTTTTTATCTTGATAGAGGTGTAGGTGGTATAGTTTGTGAAAAGTAAACAGTAATAAATGTAAAAATAATAAAATCACTAATGCAATTTTATATATTCCTGTGATATTTGTAATTGACAGGCATCTCCTTAGTGAGATTCCCAATGAAAAATTTCGATTATACAAATTAAAGATGATGGCAAAGATGGAAAAATATCTTCATTCCAGAAGATGTAGGCGAAAGTAGGTATTATTTGTTTTATATTACTTAATAACAGATTTAAGAATGGTGCTCTTTAAAAAAAAATGATGCTCTTTTAAGAAAAAGTTTTGCAAAATAATTAGAAATATTTAGAAACCGTATCTTGTTGGTATTACATAATGTGCTGAAATTTTAAGGTAACTTTCTTTGTGCCTCAGTAAACTGAAGCCAGATAATGAGATCCCAGGTGAATCAATTAGTGATGATTTCACCTCATTATTTTAAGCAATGATTTTAACATATATGGTTTTGTTCTTTTATTTAATTTTAAATTTTCTCTTGGGTAGACTCATCTTGTCTCATTTTGAAGACAAACAACTACGAAAGGCCTCCGTGGGTATTATGGGAACTGAAAAATGCTGTGATAATTGCAGGTCCAGGTAAAGATTTTTTTCTTCTAGATGGAGATTCTTAAAGTCTTTGTTTCTCTTCCTTTTCAAATATATATATTTTTAAGTAGGCTTCATGGCCAACAGGTGGCTTAAACTCACGACCCTGAGATCAAGACTCTGAGATCGAGGTCAGATGCTCCACTGACTGAGCCATCCAGGGGCCCCTCAAATAATTTTTAATTGAGTTTTTGTTGAATGATATGTATTACAGTTTTAAAAAACAAAATAATTTATTTAAATGTAAGACAAAGCAAGCAATATTATTTTGCTTTACAAATAGATAAACAAATAGATAAATGGTGGACCTAAATCTAAATGTATCAATAATTATATTAAGTGTAAATGGTCCAAAATCACCATTTAAAGGCAGACATTGTTAGAATTGGTTTGAAAATATGTCTGAGCCTGGCTGGCTCAGTCAGAGGAGCATGAGACTCTTGATCTTGGCGTCATGAGCTTGAGCCCAGATTGGGTGTAGAGATTATTTAAAAATAAATAAGTAAACTTGGGGGGGAAAAAAATGACCCAACTATATGCTGACCATAAGAAATCCACAAGTGTAATTATATAGGTAGATTAAAAATAAAAGGATAACAACTATATACCATGAAAACACTAGTCAAAAGAAAGCTGGGTTGTTATTTTAATATCAGACAGTGGAGACTTTGGAGAAAGAATATTACCGGGGATAAGGAAAGACATTACATGATGGTAAAAGGGTCAGTTTACCAATGAATCATAGTTCTCCAGAGTTAGACACACACATACATACACACAGAGATTGATTTTAAGGAATTGGCTGATGGCAGTTGTGGGGGTTGGCAAGGCTGAAATTTGTAGGATAAGCTGGCAGGCTGGAAAGTCAGGCAGAATTTCTGTGTTAATATTTTTGAGTCACAGTTCCTTGTTGTGCAGCAAACCTCAGTCTTTGCTCTTTAAGGCCTTCATTTGATTGGATGAGACTTAACATTATCAGGTAATCTCCTTTTCTTAAAGTCAACTGATTGGAAGTGATTGGAATATCTCCAAAATATTTATAACATCATCTAGATTAGCGTTTGACCAAACAACTGGGCACCATAGCCTAGCCAAGTTGACACATCAAGTTAACCATCATATTCAAGAGCACATAATCCTAAATGTGTATATACTTTAACAAAAGAACTGACAGAATTGAAAGGAGAAATACAGAAATCCGTAATTATAGTTAGTGATTTCAACATCTCTCAGTAATTAATGGAACTAATAGAAAATCAGTAAGAAGATAGAAATGAACAGGACTGCCAACAAACTGGATCTAATTAACTTTTATAGAAACTCCACCCAACAACGGTGGAGTAAACATTCTTCCCAGGTACTGATGGAATGTTCACAAATGGGGATTATATTTTGGGTCATAAAACAAACCTTAATACATTTAAAAGAATTCGGCTTGTATGGAATGTGTTTTCTGACCTTAAAGGAATTAAACTAGAAACCAATAACAGAAAGATAGCAGGAAAGCCTCCAAACACTCAAAGATTAAATAGCACACTGCTAAGTAACCCATGAGCCAAAGAGGAGGCCTCAGGTCAACTGGAAGATATTTTGAACTGAATGAAATGAACATATAAAATGTATGGGATGCAGCTAAAGCAATACTGAGGGAAATTTAGAGCATTAAATACTTAGAATAAAAGAAAAGTTTCAAAGCTGTAATTAAGCTTCCACCTTAGGAAGCAAATAAGAGCAAAATAAACTAAAAGGAAGCAGAAGGAAGGAAATAAAGATAAGAGCATATGTGAAATGAAATAGAAAACAAAAACAAAAGAGAAAAACCAAAGAATTCAAAAGCTCATTCTTTGAAAAGGTCAATAAAATGGATAGAAACTTCTCACAAGAAAAAAAGGGAATACAGAGATTACCAATACGAGGAATGAAAATAATTTCACTACAGGTCCAATGGACATTAAAAGAATCATAAAGAAACACTGTGAATAACTCAGTGCATGTACATTCAGTAATTTAGAGGAAACAGACCCAATTCCGTGATAACTTCAAACTGACAAAATTCACCTACAACGAAATAGATAACCCGGATAGTTGTACGACTGTTAAAGAAATTAGAGCTGTTAAAAACCTCTGGAATAAAATTCCCTAGCCCAAATGGTTTGAATGGCAAATTTTACCAAACTTTTAAAGGAAGAAATAATACCAGTTTTACAGTATGGTCCCATTTATATGGTGGTCTCACAAAAGTAAGACTATACTGTCGGGATGGAGAAAAGATCAGTGGTTGCCAGAGGGTAGAGGGAGGTGGAGGGTATGATTACAAAGGGCTAGCCTAAGGGAGTGTTTGCTCTGATGGATTTGTTGTGTGTCCTCATTGTGATAGTAGCTGATTATGGTTGTTGGGTGAATCTATGCATATGAATCAATAGATGTATTTAAATTCATAGAACTTTTCATATGCACAGATACACAGTCAATTTAACTGTATATTAATTGAAAAAATAAAAACAAATTGTTTAATTAGTTGAGTTAACCATAGGTACCTAGGCATAGTAGCTGTGTAACTATTAGACAAAAAAGTAATTATTAGGGATGAAGATGATCTCTGTGGTGACAAAAAGTTTCTTCTGCAAAAGGACAGAATTGTTCTATGCACCAAACCCCCAAACCCTACAAATACATAAAGCACAAACCGACAGCTGGAAGAAATCAACAAATCCACCATTAAGGTAGAAGAGTTTGATATAAATTTTGGTTATTGGCAGGTTAAACAACCCAGAAATGAGTAAGCTGTAGAAAATTTGGTCAACATAGTAACAAGTTTGATTTATCACACACTTGCTATTTAGAACTCTATACTAAGCATTTAGAACAATGTATTGCAAACATTTTCACTTCATGATCCACAAAACTAATGATAATACCACGATAGCACATTAGGCTATTTACTACTCGGGTCCAGATTCTGTCCAGAACTGTGATTAACTCTCTAGCATCCCTATAATCCATTTACAGCACACTAGCTGGGAAGCCCTGAATTAGAGACTGCACTTCTCAAACATACATAGAACATTGATAAAAATTTGACTCTAGGGGCACCTGGGTGGCTCAGTGGGTTAAGCCCCCGCCTTTGGCTCAGGTCATGATCTCAGAATCCTGGGATCAAGCCCCACATCGGGCCCCCTGCTCAGCAGCGAGCTTGCTTCCCATTCTCTCTCTGCCTGCCTCTGCCTACTTGTGATCTCTCTCTCTGTCAAATAAATAAATAAAATCTTTAAAAAAAAAAATTGACTCCGTGTTAGAGCAGGGGGCTGGCAAACTGTGGCTTGTATACAAACCCACTTTGCTGCCTGTTTTTATGGATGAAGTTTTCTTGGAATACAGCGTACCCTTTTGTTTATATGTTGTCTATGGCTGTTTTTGCAGAGTTGAATGTCTAGTAGCTGTGACACAAAGACAGTATGGCCCACAAAACCTAAACTGTTTACTCTCTGGCCCTTTATAAAAAGCTTTCTGTCCCTTATACTAGATTGTAGTGTTGTCTTAAAAGTTTTCAATGTATTGGTATTAAACACACCACTTTATCTGATCAGAATGCAATTGAATTAGAAGAAAATAAGAGGATAAACAAAATTCTCATTCACTTGGACATTAAAAATAAATAACAATTTTAACTTACTCATAAATCAAAGAAAGAATCAGATTGGAAATTAAAACATCTTTAGAACTTTAGTAATGATTACAATATTATACATTAAAACTTGGAAGATACAGCAGAGGTGGCACTTTGTGGGAATCTGATAGCTTTAAATATTCATACTAGAAAAGAAAAATAATGAGCTAAGTATCCTACTAAAGAAGTTAGAATAGGAGAATAAACCTAAATGTAGTCTTTCCCCCAAAACATATTATAGCTGGAATATTGACTGTATTCCTACTGCTGTTTCAAAGCTATTTGTTCTAAAGAAAGCTATTGAATTAGGTAGTTGATTTTCTCTAAGGAGTCCTTTTGTTCTCAACCAGCTTTAAAGAATTCTTGGGGCTTCTGAGTGGCGCAGTGGATCAAGCCTCTGCCTTTGGCTCAGGTCATGATCTCAGGGTCCTGGGACTGAGCCCCCCATCAGGCTCCCTGCTCACCAGGGAGCCTGCTTCCTCCCCTCCCCCACTTGCCTCTCTGCCTACTTGTGATCTCTGTCAAATGAATAAATAAAATCTTTAAAAAAAAATTCTCATTTGTATTAATGATAATTCTAAGTCTACCTGAAGGATGGCTTAGGAATGTAACTTCCAAGTGGACTTAAATGAGGTGCACTTTATCTTTGTGTCGTATTTTACAGACATTGGAGTTTAAGCTAATAATTTATTGCATAGGAGATTTGGTTTTTAAGTTAACAACTTTTTTTTTTTTTTTTTGCAAAAATTTTTTTCTCCTATTACAACCTAACCCAAAAATCCAGTATTTATATAATCATTCGAGTGGAACTTTTCAAGCTGTACTTCTGAATTCTGCTTGCTTGAACCTCGCTACTCTTCTGTTTATGGTCTAAGGTACCTCCTATGAAATTTGGGTTCCAAGGTACCAGGGTTGAGAACCATCAACATAACATACAAAGCTATAATTATGGTTTATATTTCATGGTTTACATACTTCACATGGTCTTGGCTGTAATGAACTTTGTTAGCTTATGAATCAGTTGGCCTATTTGAGATTTTTTTTTTTTGCTTAGCTAATTGTTACACGGAATCTTTTTCTTTCTAAAGGTACATGCCTTATACTCTGGTTTCTCTTCAGATCGCATAAATCTTTTGCCTTTTACTAAAGGTACATGCCTTAGCTAAACTTTCTATTATACTGTTTGTTACTTAGATTGGATCATTGCTATGCCGTTGATGACTCAGATGAGACATCAAAGGACTTTGGTCCACAAGCATTCCAGCTGTTATCTGCTGTGGAAATCTTAGGAGAAAAGTTTGGAATTGGACTTCCGATTTTATTTCTCCAAGGATCTGTAAGTATACCTGTGAATCACCTTCATAGTTCTTCTTGCACTCCTGTTACACTTTTCTTCAGAAATTTGTCTTGGGATGGCAGCTTTGGCTTTAGATGAGTTATTGGAAGTCAGCCATATGAAGCTCCAGTCAAGCATTACATTCGTTACTTTTGACAAAACCTGCATGTTATCACATGTACTGCTGTTTTCATATTTCAAGTTGATGTTCAGCTCTGCAGCTCATTCTAGAAGCATTGTATTAGCTTATTAGATTACAGTTGGATAAATCCCTAAACTGGTCTTTCTTAGGATAATCAAGAAAAGTTAGCTTTCATTGTATCAGGAGACAGGTAGAACAAAAGTATCTCTTTTGGTGCCCTGAAAAGTAGTAAATTCTTTGAGCAAAACTTTAATTTCAGTGATTATTTGTAAATGTCTAAGTTCAATAACAATATTTGGAGGTATACCATTTCTTTTTACATCTTTTCCATTTCTCGTCTCAGGTATTTAAAATTCCAAAAATTTTTTTTGTTTGTTTGTTTCTTTTTGGCTTTACCATTGAATAAATAGCGATAGCCAATTCAGCTACTTTTTTTTGTTTTAGTGATTAGCATGCCAAAATTATGCTAACATTTGCAAGTATACTATGAGTAAGTCATGACCCTTAACAGTCAGTAGTCCTTTTGTTCATATGATTTTATTCCTGGTTTAGAAGTCTGTAAAGCAAAGCCAAGTGTCATGCATTGCTATTAGTTGAATAAACCAAAGTCGGAGGTAGAATCCTTCACAAATATGTATATTTATTAAAAATATACTTAAAAGTAGAGATTAATATTCTCAGTTTGCATGTAAAATTTTAAAAAATAATTTAAGTAAGCATTTATTTGTTAAATACTTGAATGCTTCATGTAAATATTTATTTTCTGAGTTTTTATCTTGTTTAGAAAGGGACATGTTAAATTATTTGTGAAATATTTTTAATGAAATATTGAAAACATGTTAACTTTTCAGATAGTGATGGTTTTAGATTCTGCATGGAGTTTAAAATATTATGTTTTTATTTTTTGTTATTTTTTCCCCAGCCCCGCTATAATTTTGTTTTTAAATCACCAGTTTGATTAGAAATTTAATAAGTGTTGTCACTGTATATTATTTAAGTAGTGTTCCAAGTTAAGGAACTTGGTTTTAGCTGCTATGAGTGCTACTATTTTTTTTTCTAGTATCTTTTTTATTAAAGAATTTAAGTTATAAGAGATAGATTAAGCTTAATTGGGATCTATGAAAGTTTCTTCTGTCTCTGTCATCTTCAAAACCTGTGTATCCCAGTTGAATGTGTAATTTATAAAAATTATCCTTGTTTTAATTTGGTTTAAGCCAGCAGTATCCAGTATCAACAAATAAGTGTAAGTGGGCTCCTATACAAACTTGAACTGGCCACAAGAGGGATCAGATTTCACCTATTATTTGAAAACCAAGTCAGACTGCTTATACTGACAGTCTCTTCTGGGAGTTTTCAAATTAAGAAGTTTATTCTTTGTGAAATTTTATACTACCCTTGCTAGATAAAGGTATAAAACTTTTCAAAAAAGTACCACTTAACAAAAATTTGTAGACATTAACTATAAGGAAAAATAAGGTAATTTTTTTTCCCCTTCCTTTCAGTGATCTTGGTATCTATTGGGATATTGTTTTAAAAATTATAATTATGATTCCTTTAGGAATTTAGTAAATCATCCACCTTAACTAATTTAGGTAAAATTTATAGCTTTGTAGATAATTTGGATCTGTAAGATGATAAATATATTAAACTGAAAACCTTTAGAGTTTTAAAGAGATAATATTTTTACATATATATAAGAAATATAATTTAAGCAGCATGTGATTCTCCTTTCTTACACAAGATTTTTCTAAATAGTATAAACAGTTATACAGCCCATCCAGGTATTTGTAAATGGAGTTTAAAACTTTGTTTTTAAATAGTACAAGTTTAATTAGAAATTAAATACTAGAAATGTTGCCTAAGAAACTTTGTTTTAGCTGTCTAAATAGCTCACCACATAAATATTTTTAAACACCCTGTATGAATAAGTTTCTGTTTTCGAATCTATACAATAATAACTGGATAGATTCGAAAACAGAAACACAGTACTTAATTTGCATAACCAGGACATTAAGTGAAACCTCATTCCTGATCATATTTTCAAAGTGCTGAGCCTTGTCATGGCTCCAGAATTAGGTAATACTTCCGATAAAAGATGCTTTGACTACAGGCAGCCACGAGAAAACTACTGGTGGTTTTAAACACCCTTTATAACTTTCAAAGTATTGAACAGGAGAGGGTTATCAATTAATTTTCTGGATAAGCTATTTTGTCTGATTGAAACATATTCCTAGAGATAATTTTTTTTAATCTTTTAATTTTATTTTGCATTTAGAATAAAAGCTCTGGAAGTGACTTTGTTAAGCCCTGAAGTGGCAGCTCCAAGCTTCTTTGGCTTGTAGGAGTTGGGAAAGAGTCAAAAGAAGTTAAAATGTAGACAGAAACTGTGGGCTTGTTTCACACTTTAAGAACTTAGAGATTTAAAACTTGAGAGAGCTCATACCTATTTTTTCCCACTTGTTATTAAACATCTTGTGTGTGTGTGTGTGTGTGTGTGTGTGTGTGTGTGTGTAAGGCACTGTGTTTTGTAGGGAATCCAAAAAACCAAAACTCATCCTCTAGTATGAAGGGTGTTACTTGGGAAGAAATAGTATAGTGTAGCATTGAAAGAGATAAAAAACATAGGAATAGACATGGGTTCTGGAGAGAGTGCTTGTCCATAGCCGGCAAGTTAGAGAAGTCTTTGTGATGCTGTCAGTATTGCTGGAGCTTTCTTTTTTGTGGGAGATAATAGTAGATTTTGGCATTCAGACATGAGATGAGGAAAGAAAGATGGAGGGGAGTGTGGCATTCCCAGCAGAAAGAATTATCTTACAAAATGATTGTGGTCTTTAAAGAAGTTACTTCAGACAAGTGGCAGATTTGTGTGTTGTTGTTGTTGTTGTTGTTTTTTCCTCTAACAGATAAAGGTTCAAAGACTTTGCTTTTATCAGAAAGTGATACTTTGGGTCATGGATTCTCGCCAGTCTGCTCTTTTTGTTCAAACACCTATCCATAGTTAGTGGGTTTCCATATTCCTTGATACCAGTTTGGTGCTCCTTATTTTCCCAACCTGATTTTTAAAAGAAAAGAATGAGATAATTTCCCTTTTTGAGTGTGTCCCATAGAAGTGTAGACTCCTAGAGCAAAAAAACCATTTATTCCCCTTGCCTTATTTGACAGTGGTTGATACTGAATCCCTGAAAGTTAGAGGACCTGCCTGAGTCACATTATTTTGTGCCACAATCAGGATGAGCAAGCAGCTTTCCTGACTACTGTTCTAGTGCCTTTTCTATTCATTATGCTGTTCACATGCAGTTTTACATTTTTATTTTTAGATTGAATGATCTGGAGATACTAGAATGAATGCAGTTGGTACGGGATGTGTCTGTAAAATGTGCCTTCCTTAAAATCAATGCTCAAATCCCTGTGTTCTCTATAGCAGCTTTCTGGGTATGGTGATTGCCATGGAAACAAGACAGTGTGAATTTATTCACACAGTATATAGTATTTGCAATTATTGATCATGAGGGGAAGGACAATTACTCCCTGCTGATTAGGAAAAAATCTTATTGCTTCATACTGGTGAATGTGTTCATTCCCTTCAGGTTTTGCCGGTTTTTTTTTTTTTTTTTTTCTTATGAAAGGAAAGGCTAGAAGAATAATTTTAGTGTTGAGATTGCTAGTAAGTACTAGTTAGGCAATTTAATACCTTTGGTGTTACTAGTTTGCAAGCAGTAGAATCTCCTGCTACAAGGATAAGCCCCTAGTAGATGTAGAGTACCATTACCAGTGTCATAAGGAAATCTGACTAGATACTAGGTAGTGATTTTTCTTTTTTCTTTTCTTTTCTTTTTTTTTTAGAGATTTACTTATTTATTAGAGAGAGTGCACGCATGCATGTGCTTATGTGGGAGGGAAGGGCAGAGGGAGGAGAGAATCTTAAGCAGGCTCCACACGCAGCTCCAAGGCTCAGTCTCATGACCCTAAGATCATGACCTGAGCAGAAATCAGGAGTCGATACTTAGCCGACTGAGCCACCTAGGTGCCCCTATAATGGTTTTTCTTTTAGATTAGGGAATTTAGGTTGAGTTAAAGGATCAACTGTTAACTAATAAGAAGAAAGTTAATGTTACTGAGTCAGGCTCTGTCTTGGTTACTCAGTCTTTACAACATGTCCAAGAGATAGAAGGTGTTGTTAATACTTGGGTAGCAGCTGAGGAACTAGAAGCCCAGGTAAGTTACGTAACTTGCCTGGTCAAAAAGGTAGAAAGTACCATTCCTGGGACTTGAATCCAGGTAGTCTTGCTGTACTAACTACAAACAATGTGTGTGTGTGTGTGTATAGATAGATAGATATGGATATGTGGGGTATGGATATGTGGTATCTCTGTTGTATATGTATGTATTGCATAGTGTGTATTCGCATGATATAGTAATGAAGGTTTCGAACTAGTACTCTGGAGGCCCGTGTTCTACTCCTAGTTCTAGGACCTTAGCTACCGCTTAACTCTTTGAGCCTCTAACTATTTGTTAGCAATATGAGTAAAAAATAACCATGTGGATCAAAGAACTCCAATGTTCTTCTAGCTCTGAAATTCTCTGATGTTTGAATTTAAGCATTCTTTTCAAGTCAGTTGGCTTAGGTAGGGAAAAGGGTACCATGTTGTACCTGGGTGTTTCTATTTCTCTAAATCTTGTTCTGATAAAATTTTGGTAAATATAATCACCATGATACTAAAGCTCATTACTTATCTATTGTAATAAAAAGAATTCTATTTCTATTTTTAAGGTAAGTAGAATGCATGTTATAGACTCTTTAACTACCCTGTCAGAAGCCTATGGGTGTTAAGCTCAGTTTCTAGGCACTGAAGTGTCTCTGATGGGAATTTGTTCCACTTTAATCTAACGTCAGCCTAGGTTTCCTTCATGTGTTGACAGAGAGAGAGAGAGACAGTGAGGGCAAGCACAAGTAGGGGGAGTGGGAGAGGGAGAAGCAGGGTCCCAGCTGAGCAGGGGACCCGATGTAGGGCTTAGTCCCAGGACTCTGGGATCATGATCTGACCCAAAGACAGACACTTACCTGACTGAGCCACCCAGGCCTCCCAAGGTTCTTTCACTTTTATTCACATGTTTCAATATTCCAAAAATGATAAACTGGTAGCTGTAACAATTTTCATCAGTTGAATAAAACCAGTACATTCATAATAGAGAACCTTCTAGTACTTGAGTTATGTCTGCTGTCTGTGAATTGTTTTGACTTTGACCCCTGGATTTTTTATATGCATTGATTATTAAGCCTTCATGGAATATAGGTAAAATGTAAAAATGTTGAATGATGGGCTGTGCCTGTTTCAAAAATTTTAGATTGGATTTAATATTGAAATTTTTAGAATAACCTCTTGACGTAGTCAAGGGATGACTCTTTTTGAAATCTAAATATAACCTAAAATACAGAATTTATATTTGCTCATAATCACTCTAAATAATTTAAACAGAAAGCTATATATTACTGGGCATTAAAAAACTTACAGATTGTACTGTAAAATAATCAATTATGAGACCTGCTGCCTCTTCTGTGACAAGAAACTATCAGTCTGGGAAGCTGCCACTGTAGCACCAGACCCCACAGTGCACCGAACAGGGAGCTGTAACAGCCAGGGAGGTTCTCCTTCTTGTTCTGGTGACCACCTGTACTTGCTATAATCTGTATCCAAAAAGTATATGCCTCTTGAGACTTAGGATGCTAGTAGTCGTACGCTGGGTTCTTGGCTAACACTTTCTCATAAAAAGCGAACACCTCCACAATCACGTGTCCCTGCAAGAATAGCTACAGAGTAGCCCGACCTCATCTCGTGCTTCGAGATGTCATGCAAAAATGCCTCTTAAATCATACCCAGAACTCTGGCGGAAAGGGATTTTGAGAAACAGTATTTATAACTTCGCAGATTCTGCAGTGAAAGAGGGTACAGTGGCTGAAGGTTAGAATGATCCTTGAATGACCATCTGACGTATTCACCACAAGTACATTAGACAGGAGCAACTTTCCATAAAGAATTATGTTCATAAAATACTATAGACATGTAAAGGCAGTTCTTGAATGTGTAGGGTAAGTAGAGGAGGTAGTAAGAGGGCACAGTGAATGGAAAAGTACTTTACAGAGAGTGAAGGTGTGGGGAGTTCCCTCTGTCAGAGGGCAAGAGAGTTATATAGGAGACTCTGCACATGGCAGACCATCTTCCCCAACATTGCCAGAATGTGATGGCCTGTGCAGAGTCTCCTACTGGAATCTTCTCTTCACTTAGGAAAAAAAAAAGAATCTCAAAAACAGTTCCTGGGTAGCATGCACTTGTTTTCTTGGAGTTTTTCTGTAAAGTAGCTAAATCAGAAATGATTAAATAAACTTTGTAGTACCTCGTGAACAAAAGTACGGTGAATGCAGTTGCGCTGTGGGGACTGAATCGTTGCAGTGCGCTGATGACAAGCTGTGGGGTCATCCTGCCTTTTAACACCCCTGCCTCTAGTCTTGAACTACAGTTTATGAGTACTGTTTTCAGACAGTAATGTGTGTTGATAAAAGGCCTAAATAGCCTAGGTTAAATATGCCAAACATATCCAACGCTGTGCTTTGGAAAACACGTGTATCAAATTACCTGCCATTATTTCACACAGGAAAGGAACACTATTTTGATTATATATTTATTTATGACTTAAGTGCTCAGAACAAGCAGGATGGGCATCGAATTTTGTAGGTATTTAAAGCTGAAATTTAGTGTTAAATCCAAAAAGTGAATAGGTAGTTCCATTTTACTTATCCTGTTTAAGTAAAAAAAGCATTTTTAGATACTGATTTTATTCCTAATTTCAGAGTTCCCAGCGTCTTCCAGATCAATATCGCAGACACAATTTATTTGGCAGTGGCAAGAATCAGACAGAGGGTTGGTGGAAGGCTTTGTCCCACCAGCTCATGGCTGAGGGATTCTTGGTAGAAGTTTCTGGGAAACGCAGATTTGTAAGGATTTGCACTCTTACAGAAAAGGTAAGCAATGTAGAAGACTACCTGTTTGATTTAATTTTTCTCATTATGTATTAAAAGATTCTTCTTGTGTTCAATAGGGCAGATGTTGGCTTCATGAAGCTGGTACAGAGTCTCCTAAGAAACTTATCCTCCAAGCTAGTGAAGAATTGTGTCCGAGGGTGTTTCTTCTACCAAGGTTCATTTTTCATTTTTTTTTTAACTTCTGTATTTTTGTGGTTGAAATGGCAAATTATACCAATTCACAGGCACCACAAAGATAAAGTGAGTAAAGATTGCTTTGCATACGTCTTTTAGCTAGTTTGAAATTGGGAGTTAGTGGGTGAAAGATAAATCATAGATCATTTTCTTGATTGATAAGAAGTAGTTGAGTATTACAGTATTTAGAAAGCTACTTTCCCATTGATTAAAGAAACAGCACTGAGATCAATGTTGAAGCATCCATATATCAAATTGTCTTCTTTATTTTTTTTTTAAGATTTGATTTATTTATTTGGCAGAGAGAGAGAGATCACAAGTAGGCAGAAAGGCAGGCAGAGAGAGAGGGTGAAGCAGGCTCCCTGAGGGAGCCTGATGTGGGGCTCGATCCCAGGACCCTGAGATCATGAACTGAGTCGAAGGCAGAGGCTTAACCCACTGAGCCACCCAGGCACCCCTCAGATTTTCTTCTTATGTTAGAAGGTGGGAAGGGAATATACTTGTTGCCTTCTTTTTTGTATCTTTACATGTTGTTGATCATTTATGGGTTTTTTCCTTTTTAAAAAAATTGAGATATAATTGACATAACATTTTGTAAGTTTGAGGTGTACAACGTGTTAGTGTGATAGATTTATATATTGTCATATGATTACTACAGTGGGTTAGCTAAAACCTCTATCATGTGACATAATTATCATTTCTGTGTTGAATACAACTCTGTTCACAACTTTGAAGTTTATAATATTGTTGATGGTAATCCCTATAGTGTGCATTTTATTATCAATTTTTCTTTTAAAGTCAAAAAACTCTAAAGAGCTTTAAACTTAAATTTTAAAGAGCTTAAAAAGCACTTTCGGAGCTTGTCCTAAAAAAAAATTAATTTAAAGAAATCTCAGTTTGGGGACTCCTGGGTGGCTCAGTCATTTAAGCCCCTGCCTTTGGCTCAGGTCATGATCCCAGGGTCCTGGAATCGAGTCCCACATTGGGCTCAGCTTCTGCTCAGCTCCTCCCTCTGCCTGCCACTCCCCTTGCTTGTGTTCTCTCTGACTCTCTTTTTTTAAGATTTTATTTGTTTATTTGACAGAGAGAGATCACAAGTAGACAGAGAGGCAGGCAGAGAGGGAGAGAGAGGGAAGCAGGCCGAGAGCCCGATACGGGACTCGATCCCAGGACCCCGAGATCATGACCTGAGCCGAAGGCAGCGGCTTAACCCACTGAGCCACCCAGGCGCCCCTCTCTGACTCTCTTTCTCTCTTGCTGACAAGTAAATAAATAAAATCTTTTTAAAAAATTTAAAAATAAATAAAAATAAAAGAATTTCGGTTCTAAAACAGTAGACTCTCATCTGTCTTTCTGAGACTGGATGCATTATGATATTAGATAATTGAATAATCATATTTCAGCATTTGAGATAATTTGATGTTATTATTTTTTCAGTTCTAAAACTGTACCACCTGGCGTTGAACAGGGTTCCTATAATCAAGTACCAGCTGAGTCAACCACAGACAAGAAGGTTAGTTTGTTTAAAGAGATGGTTCCTACTGATTTCCTTCGAAATGCCATATGTAATAAAACATAAACTTTGGACAGAGTAGTGATGTGAACAGAATAAAAGATGCAGGATGTGACTTCTGGGACTAATAGGACAGTTAAAAATACTTGAGAAAGTGACTTATTTTAATTTTTTTAAAACCTGTTTTATAACTCATTTGGCCTGGAGTTTTTTTGTTTTTTACAAAGTACGATACTTAAAACTAAGAGAAATAATAAGCCTGATTCCTAAGTGTTCTCATGAAAGCTATATGCATACTCACACTCACATGCACACATACTTTCTTGCTTTGTTTTTGGATCTTAGATAACAGTTACAGGTTAAAGAACCACAGGCAGACTTAAACTAATTGGAACACTGGAATAACAGGAAAATGTGCTGAATTAATTTTTTGTCAGAGTTTTTCTGTTGTATTAAAGTATGCAGAATTTAACTGAATCATTTTATAAGTTGGGCCTCTACTGTGCCTCAAATAATTATTCTGATTATATATTCTCTATAGATTTGGGAGAAATAGGACATTACATTTCCAACTGCCTTTAGAATCCTAGAAATTGATAATCCAAGAGCTATTTTCAGGTGATGACTTTTATTTGATGACTTGGTTAATCAGAGGAAAAGTTGTCATCGTGAGATTTTTGTATCTTATTATTATTTTTTTTTTGTATTTGAAAGTTTTGAAACTTCTGATTTCTTGTAATGAATCTTTATATGTTTAAAAGCAGCCTAACTTGGAGAAGATGTATTCTTATAAAGCAACTGATAAAATTTCTTCTGGGAGAAACATTCCTAAAAAAAGGTACAGAGTTCAAAATATTTTCTATGTTAACTGTATCGACACCTTTTTTCTTTCTTTCCTAGAGAAAGGTCTGTCAGATGTTGGACTGTTTCATTGGTAGAAGGTAGAAGGAAGTTAAAGTTAAAGCATAAGCCTATCATAATTATTATGTAGATAAAATTATTATATATAATATATAAATTATAATTATTAAATAAGACCTATAAAATGATAGTATTAATATTAATTTAATAGCTAATACTTCTTGGGTATTATTTGCCAAGCCATACGCTACATGCTAAATATTTTATTTATAACATCTCATTTAATTGTTACAACAATCTGTAAGTTGGCTACTATTATTTATTCCCATTTTAAAGTTGAAGATACCAGGGGTTAAGAAGTTAACTTTGTTCAGTCACGTATGGCAGATCTGACTTTCAAATCTATATTTGTCAACCTTTAGCTTCTTTTTTTTTTTTTAAGTTTTTTTTTTTTTTTTTTTAATTTATTTGACAGAGACCACAAGCAGGCAGAGAGGCAGGCAGAGAGGGAGAGAGGAGGAAGCAGGCTCCTTGCTGAGCCGAGAGCCCGACTTGGGGCTCGATCCCAGGACCCTGGGATCATGACCTGAGCCGAAGGCAGAGGCTTTAACCCACCGAGCCACCCAGGCGCCCCCAACCTTTAGCTTCTAAACACTCACTACATATGTATAAAATATATATTCCAAGGCCATATAAAATACATGTTATGGGAACATAAAATGGTAGATATTAGAGTTGGTAGAAATAGTGAATTGACCTATTATACTTTGGAGCTTAATATTTGACTTGCTAACTTAATGAAAGTGTGGAGAATGTACAGAATTAGAGAAGGTCTAAAGATGGAGAGTTTGAAAAACTTGTCAGGACTTATATACAGATTATTGAATGGACTTTGTTTATATACATATCAGGTGAATGGAAGTTAATGTGCTCTGATGCTGTTACTTTCTGGTGGATTTCTCACTTAGATAATACTACTTTGGATCTGACAGAAATATTTACCATAATACCAGTCTCTCACTCAAAACAATTTCTTTTTGTTTAGATATGGGCTAATTAATTACAGTGTGTAAACAAAAGGGTTAAGGAGTATATAAAACAAGATATCCATTCATTATGCTGAAGTATTTCTTCATTTAAACATTTGTTTCATTTTTGGTAAACATCTTTGTGCCGGGTATTACTCTTCGCATTGGGATTTGGTAGGGAAAATAGAGACATAGTCACTGGCCTTCCCAGGGTTTATACTCTAGTGGGATATACAGGTAGGGGAACATGAAATTACAATCCAAAGTTGTAATACTTTGGAAACACACTTGGAAATGACACTTGAGACTTTAGTTAGAAGTTAAGTGACATGAGGGTAAGTTCCTCTGAGCAGAGGAATGGCCCACTTTTTAAAACCTGAAAGCAAGAGAGGGTGTGATATGATCAAGGAACTCAACAGTCCTAGCAGTTACCTAGTAGAGGGAAGCAGAGGGGTGGTGAAAATTTAAGACTGAAGAATTAAATAGGGCCCAGAATATCCAGTGTCTATCCAGCCCTCAACTTGATCATAAAGGCAGAGGAGTTGTTGGGAGCTAAGGAAGGATTTTTCAGTAGGACAGTGACATCAAATTTACGATTGAGAACAGAGGTTGCCATTTCCATCAAGGATCAGATAGTAAACAATTTAGGCTCTGAGGGCTATGTGGTCTCTGTCGAACTTTACTCTTGTAGCCTTAAAGCAGCCATAGTTGATATGTAAAGAAAGTGTGGCTTGTATTCCAATAAAACTTTATTTATGGACCCTGAAATTTGAATTTCATATAATTTCCACATGTCACAAAATGTTCTTTTGATTTTTTTTTTTTTTTGACTGTTTAAAAATGTAAGAAACCATTCTTAGCTTATAAGCCTTATCAGAACAGATGGGTTTGTCCCGTGCACCCTGGTGTGCGACCCTTGATCCATGACTCTGGCTGTGGAGGGAATGGAAGGCAGGAGGATCAGAGTGTAGAGACACAATAAGGAGGCTATTGCAAGAGAGGTGGAAACTTAGACAAGGGAAATGGCAGTGGGCATGGAAAGAGAAAGGACTGTAAGATATTTAGGAGTTAGAATTGTTAGGACTAAGTGATTGAAAACAGAGGTGGGCTTAGGAAAGTGGAAAACTTGAACATGACACTTAGGTTTGTGTCTGATTGCAGGCGAGAGTGTTGTCATTCCCTTCGCTGGTAACGTAAGAGGAACACAGGTTTGAGAGGTTGGGTATTTAGGGGATGAGGAGTTTAGTGATAGACATACTGGGTTTGACATGCCTGTGGAGTGGCCCAGAAATTAATTTTAATATATGGGCTTAGTGTATAGGAGCGAGGAAGATGCTTAGATATCAATAACTATTATTTTAAAGTTCATTTGAATTTTCATTAAAATAATTCATGTACATGGTTTTAAAAGTCAATTGGTACTTAATGGCATATAACAAAGCCAGCCAGTTCACATCCTTCCCAAATCCACTTTGCTCTGTTCTGTAGAAGTGGTTATCCTCTAATCTTTCAGCTGGGCTTGTAGATATTTGCCTCCATTTTTTAAAGGTTGGGGAGGGGCAGGGAGAGAGGGAGAGAGAATCTCAAGCAGACTTCCTGCTGAGCATGGAGCCTTTCCTGGTGCTCGACCTCATGACCCTCAGATCATGACCTGAGCCAAAATCAAGAGACAGGTGCCTAACAAACTGAGCCACCCAGGTTCCCCTGCCTCCATATTTCTAAGTGACATGCTTAGATTACTATTTTTGGACCTATCAGTTTTAGAAGTTTTTTTATTGACCTATAATGGTAGATTGTGGCGTATCTTCCATATGCCCTTCCCTCATTTCCCTTCCTTAAGTTCCTCCCTTGACCAAAACAGAATTATATTTCAAGTTGTGGCCATATTAACAATTTGTTTTTACATTATTATACTTAGACAAATATTATATACTACTAAGCCAGTCTTTGTGGCTAAGGCATGACTACTTTAATTTTCCTTGTTGTTAGTAATTGTCTTTTTTGTTTTCTTGGCTTGGTTTTTAGTGTTTTTATTACTCATTTTTCCCCCTTATTTTCAATTTCTTTTTGTTGGTGTGTACTCTCTTGGATTCCTTGACTTTATATTCCTTTCCATCTAGTAAGATTCTAATTTTAGTTATTAAAATCTTAATTTCTAAGAACTATTTCTTGTTCTGTTTCTTCTTTAACATGATAGTCTTTTCTTGTTTCATGCGTAGAACATCTCCACTTTTTATTCCCCCCCCAAAGATTGATTGATTGATTCATTCATTGATTACAGAGAGAGCATGAGGCAGGGAGGGGCAGAGGAGAGGGAGAGAGAAGCTAGCAGATTTCTGTGCTCAGTGCAGAGCCCCATGTAGGGCTCGATTCCATGACCTTGAGATCACAACCTGAGCCAAAACCAAGAATCGAACACTTAACCAACTGCGTCACCCAGGTGCCCCCAACATCTCCACTTTTTCATGATATTCATTATAGTTATTTTGGGCTTGTCTTCTGTGCACTTGTAATAGTATTCATAGGCAAAACATTTATTATTGTTTTCCATGTATATTTCTCCTTCAGGGCTATATTGCCCATATTTTGCCAGTATATATGATAATTAAATTTATTTGTGAAATAATCTAAAATACCGTTTTGCAAGCAGTACGTTAGTATAAAGACTTTTATAAATACTATTATAAAGGGTAATATAATTTTATTATTTAAAACAAATTTATAATTATCTTGAATAACCTGATATTACTAATTCTTTGAACTGGTGTTTTTTTTCCTCTAGTTTAAATCTGCTTATTTTAGCGATAGGATTTGATAATTGTGAAAATCTTACTATAAACATTTGTTAAATATCAAACATGTTCCCCCTTTCCTTACCAAAAAAGGGCTTTATTTAAATTGGGCATCTTTTATATAGGCTATTCCATACAATTTCATTTTTATATCTTTTTGTCTTTAGAATTAATTTATCAATGGGAAATGTTCTTTGTAGAAATTGGTTTTGTCTAGTTTGCTGCCTCGCTCCTTCCATGTTGTTTGCTAATTGCATGCTTTCTATCTTTGTTTTGTGGAGTCAAAAGACAAATCCCCTTTGGCTTATTTTTGTTTGATTTTGAAGAAAATTGTGAACAGTTTGATTAGTCCCATGCTAATGCTCCTTACCAACCAAAAATTAGTGATGTCACAGTAAAGAATCATAGATTGTATCTCTCTTGGACAAAAAAAGTTATCTTCAGTATAGATAAGGAAGGAGTATTTTAAAGAATTTGGTTGAGGATGAGGATGGGGCAAAGGCTGTTTTTGAGTATACTACATTTTGATGAATTCAAATTACAGTTTTAACTTTACCATTATAATGAATGCATTTGATTGAAATTGCTTAAAATCTAGGCTGCCATATCAATCACAATTATTTTACTGGTGTTATGAAAGATAAATGTTACTGTTGACTTGCAACAATATTCTCATTTTGGGGGTGAAATAAAAAGTGAACATGGAGAAAGAAACGCCTTTACTATTTATTTTCTTTTACATATTTTAGCATCATGGTGCGTTCACCAGGAAAACCTCACAAGTCCTCAGAACCTATTATTTCAGCTCAAGAGCAGGAGACTGAGGTATGGCTTTTGTGAAAAGGCAGTGCTTGAAAGGATTATATGCATGCTTAAGATTTTGTTGCCAGCATTTTTTTTTTTTTTTAGATTTTATTTATTTATTTGACAGAGATCACAGGTAGGCAGAGAGGCAGGCAGAGAGAGAGAGGAGGAAGCAGGCTCCCTGCTGAGCAGAGAGCCCGATGCGGGGCTCGATCCCAAGACCCTGAGATCATGACCTGAGCCGAAGGCAGAGGCTTAACCCACTGAGCCACCCAGGCACCCCTGTTGCCAGCATTTTAAAAGTTGTTCTTTAGCTTGAGTCTGAGATATAGTTAATTCTTCATCCTGAGGGAAAATGTAATAGCCGAAGCTCTAAAAATAAAGGACTGGATTTTTCTAAGTACATTAAAAAACAACAACAAATGTTCAGTTGTTTCTTTGCTCTTCGTTCAGACTGTGTTGTACGGCAAACTGGTGGAAACCAGGCAGAAACAAGCCAGTAAAATGGATGTCCCTCCAGCTATCCTGGCAACAAATAAGATACTACTGGATATGGCCAAAATGAGGTAAGCTGTCTGTCGGCACGTGTTCTAACTTATTTTCTCCTAACATAATAGATTTGTAATGTAGATTGTTTAGTGACAGTACGACTTGGGGTCCAGCTGTCTTGTCTGTGAGGTGACTCCCCAGTCTCCCATGCTGCCCACCATTGCTCCACTGAGCTGTAGTCTTACGTTTCAACATGAATGAAAACCGTTTTCAGCCGTCACATTCAGTGTATATGAAATCTAACTCATCCACAAACCCTCCGTGCATGCATTTTGTGCAACTACCAAAACTCTTCTCTCTTTTTTTGTCAGTTCATACTTTTATGTTCTCAATAATATATGTTTAAAATGCCTGGTGTTATTTTCACTCCTCTAACTAACGTGGATCCCCGTCTTAGTCCTACTTAAATAGTTGTTAGACTTTTTCATTAAAGTGTTCCTCATGCGTCCGTGTATGCTGTCCTCTCTCTTCTTTGTCACACCCTGTTAGTTCAGACCATTGCCCCTGGGCTGTTGCAGAAGCCTCTTAACTAGTAACTCTTTCCTTCCTCTCTCTGTCTCTGTTTCATCTGATACATGAGACCAAATCAGTCTTTCCTTCTCATGTCCTGCTTCTGCCTAACTAGTTCCTAACTGTCTTAACTTCTTTAGCCTATAATTCAGAGCCCTCCATTTATGGACTTAAACATGCTTTTACATCCATGTCACAGAATTTTGAGTGGTTTATCCAACCACATGTTGAAGATCCCCTTTCAAATTCCATGTATTTGTTTACAGTGTTGCTTCTGCCTTGTTGTTTCCTTGATTTCCCAAAACTCCTGCTAGGAAATCCTTCAAGATTTTCTCCATGAAGTCTTTCATGCTCTTAGCAGCAAAGTAATTCCTTTCCCCTGAATTCATAAAGGACTTTTAAATGTAAATTTAGAAGATGCTTCTGTGACACATCTCACATAAGGCTTTATTTTTTGTTATTATTGGTATACGTGCTTGTATCTTCCAGATTTTAAACTTTGAATAAAGACACTGTTTTCCTCATTATTTTGTGTCTTCCAAAGCACCTGGCACAATGCCTAATAAAGATGAGGTGGTCAATAAGTATTTAGAAGAAATTATTTCCAAAGAACAGTTTTTGAAGGACACCCGAGTGGCTCAGTGGGTTAAGCTTCTGCCTGCTGCTCCCCCTGCTTGTGCTCTCTCTCTCTCTCTGACAAATAAACAAATAAATAAAATCTTTAAAAAAATTTCTATCTTTAAAAGAAAAAAAGCATTTGTTTGATAATTGTATTCACCCTTTTTAAAAAAAATTTTATTTATTTATATATTTATTTTTTAAAGATTTTATTTATTTGACAGAGATCACAAGTAGGCAGAGAGGCAGGTAGAGAGAGAGAGGAAGGGAAGCAGGCTCCCATCTGAGCGTAGAGCCCGATGCTGGGCTCGATCCCAGGACCCTAAGATCATGACCTGAGCAGAATGCAGAGGCTTTAATCCACTGAGCCACTCAGGCGCCCCTTAAATTTTATTTATTTTTTTTGTGTGAGAGAGAGCGCACAAGCACAAGCAGGGGAGCCCCAGACAGAGGGAGAAGCAGGCTCCCTGCTGAGCAAGGAGCCTGATATGAGACTCCATCCCTGGATCCTGGGATCATGACCTGGGCCAAAGGCAGATGCCTAACCAACTGAGTCACCCAGGTGTCCCAATTATATTCATCTTTTATACTTTCTTTTAAAAAATTGTTTTTGTCATTAAGTTTCATCCAGAAGATATTACTTTAGTGTAGAAATTTTAGTAATATAGTGCTTATATTTTAAAATAATTATTTTATTAAAAGTAAATATTCAAAAACCACATTTTAATATTTAGTGAAGACAATTTAAAGGAAAATGAGTAATAATTCGATCGGCAGATTTTTAGAAAGTAGACATCATACAATCTCTTGGATTTTGGACACAATAAGAAATACTGAGTTAAAAGCCTAAAGTAGTTAGCAAGTTTATTATTACAGGTAAATAGTTTGTATATAATGAATGAGATTTTCTTTTGTATTTCTTAGCCTCTTGGTTATCCTCAGAGCCTCATAGTTTTTTTTAATATCTGTAAAAATAGTAATAGTGATAAGATCAGTAATAAAGTAGAACATTGGCCTGTTTCTTCATGCTAATGGCCTGTTTACCAGTTAGTACTGTGTTTTTGTGGTGATAATGGTGGTGGTGTTTTTGTTCAAAAACTGCTAAAATTATAAATCTTTAAATGATGGAAAGCGAAGAGAAACATCATTACTTATATTACACATTGTTTTTGGTTAATGGAAAAATACACGTTTATTAAGTATTAATATGAAGCTAAACATCAGCTATGTTGCTGGAGTGATAATGTTTTAGTGGTTTCTTGACTTTTTAATTTTTTTAAATGACAGACCTACTACATTTGAAAATGTGAAGAGGATCGATGGTGTGTCTGAAGGCAAAGCTAATATGTTGACCCCTCTGTTGGAAGTCATCAAAGATTTCTGTCAAATAAATAGCACTCAGGTAAAATACTGTGGTTTGCAGGAACTGTGAGAGAATAAACATTTTTTGATGATTTAAAAAACACCTTTCAAAAGCAACATTTTCTCCCTTTACAGTTGACCCTTGAACAATGTGGGAGGTTAGGGGTGCCGACCCTCACACCATCAAAAATCCATGTATAATTTTTGACTCCCCCAAAACTTAACTAGAAGCCTTACTGAGAACACATACAGTTGATTAACACATATTTTGTATGTTATATGTCTTATTTACTGTATTCTTTTGTTGTTGTTTTTTTTTAAGATTTTATTTATTTATTTGAGAGAGCGAGAGAGCCAGAGAGCACAAGCAGGGATGGGGGAAGGGCAGAGAGAGGAGAAGCCAACTTCCTACTGAGCTGACCGCCCGACTCTGGGCCCAATCCCAGGACCCTGAGATCATGACCTGAGCCCAAGGCAGATGCTTAAAAGACTGCACCACACAGGTGCCCCAAATACTATTTTCTTATAATAAAGTAAGGTAGAGAAAAAAAAGTTATTAAGAAAATCATAAGGGAGGAATGCCTGGGCGGGTCAGTTGGTTAAGTGTCCACTCCAGTCATCATCTCAGGGTCATGAGATCAAGCCCTGCGTTGGGCTTTACACTCAGCCAGGAATCAGCTTGAGAATCTCTCTCTCCCTCTCACTCTGCCTCTCTCCCCTGCTCGTGCATACTCTCTCTCTCTCTCTTTCAAATAAATAAATAAATCTTTAAAAAAAAATCATAAGGGGTTGATGAAGGGAAGGTGGGCAGGGGATGGGTTAAATGGGTGATGGGTATTACGGAGGGCACTTTTGTGACGAGCACTGGGTGTTGTATGTAAGTGATGAATCACTAAATTCTACTCCTGAAACCAATATTACACTATATGTTAAGTAACTAGAATTTAAATAAAAACTTGAAACAAAACAAAATCATAGGGAAGAGAAAATACGTTTTAGCGCTGTACTGTATTTATTGAAAAAATCTGCATCTAAGTGGACCTGGCCATTTCACACTATCTTGTTCAAGGGTCAGCTGTGTTTTCATTTCCACACTGGACACTTAGAAAATCGATTCAGATTACTCCTGTAGTAAATCACCTACAAAAACATGTTACCTAATTTTTAAGATGATGCTTAAGTAGTTGTCCAGGCTGCTCATGTCTTTCTGTTCTGTTGAGTGATTTTGCTTTTAAATTTGAAAAAGTACTGTGTTTTAGGTTGATAAATTATTTTACTTTCAGATGGAGATAGAAATTAAAGCTGCAAAGTTATCTTTACTATCACTTGGCGTGGAGCCCAGCCACTTTCTTTTCTGTTTTATTTATTTTATTCCCTAATTACCCTCTCCTTCCAATCATGCTGTCCTTTGATATTAAGTAGAATACATGTTCTTCTCTTCAGTCTTAGTAGCATTTTCTTCCTATTCTTTTATTACTCTTTGCTCCACCATAAATGGCCATTTCTATAAGGATCCTTTGGGTTTCTTTCTTTAAACCCCACATGCAGACTCTAATAACTTTGTGTACTCCGACATAGAAGGTAAGGCATTACTAGACTCAGAATCAGGGAATTAGGAATTTAATTCTCCCATAGTCTACCTGTTGAAGATGAATGTGTTCTTTTTTAAAAGATTTATTTGACAGAAGCTGGGGGAGGAACAGAGGGAGAAGGAGAAGCAGACTTCCTGCTCAGCAGGGGGCTGGGGGAATGGTACGGGGCTCTATCCCAGGATGCTGAGATCATGAACTGAGCTGAAGGTAGATGCTTAACTGACTGAGCCACCCAGGCACCACCACCCCCCCTTTTCTTTTTAAAGAGTTTATTTATTAGAGAGATTGAGGAGGGGAGGGACAGAGGGAGAAGGACAAGCAGACTCCCCATTGAGAAGGGAGCCTGACTCTATGTGTTCTTTAACATCTTTAGGTTTCCATTTCCTGACTACACAATGGAAAGGATACTTTCCTTCCCCATATTAAGGAAACAATAGATTAATTAGAAAGACAAAAGATAGGGATGCCTGGGTGGCTCAGTCATTTAAGCATCTGACTCTTAAGATTTTGGCTCTGGTCATGATCTTGGAGTCTTGGGTTCTGCACTCACAGGGTGTCTGCTTGTCTCTCTCTCGCTCCTTTTGCCCCTTCCTCTGCTCACACACACACTATATCTCAAATAGATAAATAAAGCTTAACAAAAAAAGAAAGACAAAAGATAAGGGGTGGGTATAAAAAGTTGGAAGCATTAAAAATATGGAAGGCAGTATTAAGAGGTTGTTTTCGCTTCTAAGAATCTCCTGTAAGCTTTGGACACGCACATTTGGATCCCCCTTTAAAAATCTGATATGTCTCATCACAGAATAGTTGTGTTTTGGGGAGTAGATTTGCATTATCCTTCTCTGTGAGCTTGTTTTTATGTATACATGTGTGCATATGTGAATGTAAGTGGTTACATTGGAATGCAAATTCATTAATTTATCGTGAGAAATGTAACTGTGAAGTTTCACCTGACCCAGCCAGCGTCCTCTCCTCTCCTATTGAATAAGAAGGTATATGGGAAGCCAGCTTATCTGACAGTCGCTTAGAAAGCCTGGAATAGCACAAGGGGAATTCTGATAGTGTCAGAGTAGTCTGTCACATCAAGGCAGATTAGGCATTGTCCTACATTACTTGCCAGAGAAACTGTTACATTCAAATCTAGTTAGCCAAGATGTCTTGTCATCTGAACAGTGCTTGGGTAGGTATTGCCTGCTTTGGTCCTTCTGCCTTTCCTATTTTTGTTTCCACTGATTTCCTACTTATGTTTCCATTGATCACTCTCTGTTCATATAGTCTTTTATCTACATGGAGAATGATTTGATTAGACTTTTGCTTAATTAGAATAGCCCTTCCTTCTTGAGATTACTGCCCTCATAGTACTTTGCTTAGTGTTTTGAATGTTCCTAAACCCTTTAGTCTCACATTTACAGATGACATCATGATTTTGTCCTATAAGTAATAAAATCTTTATGGATTTGCCAGTATAATTCACAGTGGTCACATTTCTAAGACCTTGGTATCGGGATATCCCATTGTTGCCTCCAGCTATTGCCTATACTGACAGACTGAGGAATCGGGCTAATGGGGTCTGATATTAAGCATGCCTAGCAATTTAAGGCCAGATTTGACAATGTTAAGGTCTCAGATAGAAACACTTCATTTAATAAAAAATATTCTTCCTTGAAAATCTAGAGGTGCCTAGAAACAACTTTTGGTATTGTCTAGCTTCTCTGTTCCCCAAACTGCGTTGTCCCAGGTATCTGAACTAATCTACAGACTCACTTATTTATTTAGGGTAGAAATGGACCGCTGTGGGTTACAATACGCCAAGCTCTGTTGGATTTAATTATTTTAAATTGGTGCTTTTGTTTTGAAAAGTAAAGTTGGCATGGGGAAAACTATTCTTAATCCATGCGAATCATACATCATATAATTCTATCATAACTCTCACTTGGTCTTTACCTTTTTTTCAGGCTCTTAAAAAATTCCACTGTTGTGGGGCTCAGGTCGTGATCCCAGGGTCCTGGGATTGAGCCCCGTATTGGGCTCTCTCTCAGCAAGGAGCCTGCTTCCTCCTCTCTCTCTCTGCCTGCTTCTCTGCCTACTTGTGATCTCTGTCTGTCAAATAAATAAATAAAATCTTAAAAAAAAAAATCCACTATTGCTCTGTTAATCTCATTTTTCAATCCTTTGTCTGCTTTTTCTCTTTTAAACGTCTCCTAAGGAACCATATTTAGGAATTTACATAATGCTTCAAGTTTAGAGCCACAGTTTGTATGTATCTTTTTAAACTATATGTATATAGTGGTAATGTATTTACTTACAAAATGTTAGCAGAATTTGTGACTATGGTATCAAATTTGAATATTAATTTGGTTTATTCATTCATTCAGTATTCACTTCCAGAGATTAAGGGACTAATTTAGAGTCAGAGTGGTTAACATTATAGTTCATTTTTTATTCCCTCTTTGTTGGCTAAAGGGGAGACTAGAAATTTCTCGCTTTATAACCATGTTTACTATTTTAGATATTTTATTTAAAAACTTATTCCCTCCATCCTTATTTTACCTTTTTAGACCAATATGTAAAAAAACAAAAACAAAAAGAAAACAAAAAGAAAACCTTTTTCAGCTCTTCATTAAAAGGGGATTTTTGACCATTCCTTTGAAGTTTTGTGTGTTTTTTTTTCCCTCATGCCTAATGATCATACTGATACTTTATCATTATATTGATACTATTATCGATCATTTGTGTTACATTTAAAATTTTGTAGACAGACCTCTTTTCAAGTACAAAACCTCAGGAAGAACAAAGGAACAGCGTGGTGGCAAAAAATGAAGAATGCTCCCTTTCACAGCCTGTGGCCATCACGTATTACTTATTCCAAGAAAAGAAGATGTCTTTGGTTAGTGTTTTACTTTCAAGTTGACAGATTTTCAAATTTATCTAAACATGTGTTTTTATCAGCTTTTCAAATAGTAAAATTGTGACTTGGGATAAATTTCTTCTAATCTTGCAGTATTTTATATTGTTTCATTTTCTATTTAATCTTAGACTAGAATGTCATTTTCTTTTTCTGCCAAACCTACCTTTGTCAATTAATTAAAAAGAGTAAGTGTACTTTGACCATGGTTACTTTGTAGAGGTTGTATCAGAGGTTCTGCTGAACATATTTACAGCTTAGGGATATTAGAGCAGTTGTATTTTAAGACTGTTTTTTTTTTTTTTTTTTAAACTGGGGTTAGTAGTTTAAAAACTGTTAGCATATGTACTGATAAGAAATAATCTCCAAGATACATTAAGGAAAAGGAAGATGGAGAGCAGTGTGAAAAGCATAAATGTAAGTGTGTGTATATATGCATGCTTATATATTAGCATATTTTTGTGTATGTATACAAAAATGTGTAAACTGTCTCTGGAAGGATGTCCAAGAAGCTGGAAATAAGTTTTTAAAAAACAGCTTGCTTTTCACTCTAGATCATCTACTATTATTCTCTATTTTAAACCATGCCTGATTGGTCTTTGAAAAAAATCTTAATTACTGTGAAAAATGGCCACACTTAATGTTTCTTCACTGTTCTGGCCTCAGTCCTTAAGGCTGTTGAGGTTTCTTTAAATATACAAAATGAAGAGTATAACTTAGTGGAATAGGGACAGAATTAGGCTTCCAGCTAGGTTTAACTAATTTGAATTCCTATCCTCTCTGTCATTAAATTGATTAGGGAAAGGCTATATGGTCCAGTGCCTGCTTTTCCTGTTCTCTGTGTCTGTATTCACTAGGCTATATTATACTTCTTATTCTGGTTAAAATCCAGTATAAATAAGAAAAACAGTTTATAGCTTGTCTTCATCACTTAATAGATGTTCTAATTAAACAAATTCCTGAAATTAAAAGTACAAAAGCCATTACAGAGGAAACCGAACAATTCCATTGTACTATTTTTGAAGTGAATTGCATGATAAATAGAAATTTTAAGTTCAGTTTCTTATTTAAATAGTAACTTACATGTATGTGTTAAATATGCTTATAAATACATAATTTGACCATATATATAGTATAACTGAATACAGTACTAAGAAGATTTGGTGTAGCCTCCAAATTTTCTGAATAAAGTACATTCTAATACTCAGCCCTGATACATGGTTTCATGTGTTGTATTATATATTCATGATTAAAAATACGTAGTGGTATATTTTCATTGATATCTTTTGCTATTTTTTTTATATTATTGTGTAATATCATGGTATAATTATCTGTTCCTCCCAGGGGTCTGAGAGGGTCTGTGCCAGTTAACCACAAAATTAAACATGCCTAAGGACTAATTAATCAGGAGCAATAATACAATTAGTTCTAGGTAATTTGATGCCTGGTATCAAATAACCCTGATATTATGGACACATGGTGCAGACCGTGTAGTAGAAAAAGGTAGACATTTAATGAAGGTAACTTAAAACCTACCTTTGAAGGCTGAAAATACTGCTTTAAATGCTCCGTTCTGTGAAAGTACAGCCTTCACATAAATACAGTCCAAATTCAGACTTCCAAGGTGCATTAAAAGAAGGTATCATGAAATAATCTAGAGCTGCGTAAACTTTCTGAGTGTTTAAAAGAATGTTTTATCAAATGTACATCTTAAATGGATTTGGAGCTACTTATGTTTAAAAAGCTACATAAAATATGTAACACTATCCTAAATTTAAAACAATTCATGTTAAGTTTAATGCTAGGCAAAAAACGACAGCTCTTGATAAATTGTGGTCATTATTTTATGAATAGAGCCAATATAAAACACCCTATTAAAGTTTTCTCAAGAACCTTTTATAGAATGCATTTGGAGCCTTGCACTATCACTAAGCAGTTTAGGATTTGTCTTCTTGGACATTCACATAACTAAAGTACCATGTGTTCAATTATACAGAATATTGGATTACAATTTATGATATTTTCAAAAGGCTGTGGCAGTTATTAGATTTACACAGAATGATTAGTCTCTGCCACTAATAGGTTTTTGAAGTGAATAATTACAGAGGGATGAGGATTGAGTTCTTAGCTAAAGCTGGAGGATTTTGTTTTATTCACTGTAGTAAGTATAAAAGGTAGAACATGTGTAAAGATCTATAACATGGGTAGTTTTAAAGAAATAGTAAAAACGAAAATTTTAAGTGAAGGTTCAGTGCATTATTTATCAGTGAACATAGACTACCTGAAGGTTTTGGACATTTTATTTACATATGGTACATTGCAAACTTTTAAGACCTCACTGGTGGTTTTGCTCCTGTTTCTCTAGATAAGTGTATCCAAGGAGAGGGTTATGCCTGTCACAACGGTTGGGATGCACTTAACCCAAGCAGTGAAAGCTGGCTGCCCACTTGATATGGAACGAGCAGGCCTGACTCCAGAGGTTCAGAAGATTATTGCTGATGTTATCCGAAACCCTCCCATCAACTCAGGTGATTGCTCTGACCCTAGTCTGCAGCCTTAATGACTTGAGTCATTGAACCCAGAGGAAGTAAACAACCAGTCCACTTGTATTTTTCACTTTACCAGCATTAACCCCTTATGCTACAAGGGAAACTTTACTTTTGTAATGCTTTTTCCGTTGTTTTTGAGAAACAGTCTTTCTTCCCATTATCAGAGGAAAGACTGAGTCTGAGAAATTCTTGTATTCCTTTGCAGCTTTAAATAATGACTTCTACTCCCATCCCCAAACAGTGGGCTTTCATCCTTTTCTAACTTCTACCTCACCTCTTGGAAAAAACACATTTTTTTCCATATTTATTTCTCATAGCTTACTGATTTCTCATTTTCCCCTAAATCTTACAGATTCCTTGTCACTGGCCCGCTTAAGTAATCTTTCTAAGCAGTGCAATCAGTGGTCTCAGTCACTGTGGTGTGAAGGGATGGTCCTTGGTCTCTGGGCCCCTTGTAGAAGGGCTTCCTGTTGTCCCTTTGCTGCAGAGTGTCAGCTGTGCTCGTGGAGACTGAGCACATTTGCCTGCCCTACAGAAAGTTTTCGATTATCTCTTTTTTACAGAATTAAGGATGAGGTACCTCAGAGGATTTTTTCCCCATAAATGTACAAACTAGATGTGTTTTAACTCAGTAAATTTTCAGACTCTTAGGACAGAACAGTAGACATACAGAAAGCCTTATCTCAGGAACTGCAATGCAAATACTTAAATTTTTATTAACTCGAATTCTTTCCCACTTGGGAACAACTAGGTGGTTCCCCTAGAAATTTAGAAATAAGGGAAATACGATCACCCTCTGAAAGTACAATCAATACTGTACTAAATTGGTCAGAACAAAAATATTAAAGTCACCTTAAAGACAGCATTGGGCACCTGGGTGCTCCCCAGGGAGCTGGGTCATCCCTTAGGGGATTGACTTGATTTTCACTCAGGTCTTGATCTCAGGGTCATGAACCTGAGCCCCAAGTTGGGCTCTGTGCTCAGCACAGAGTCTGCTTGAGATTTTCTCTCCCTTTGCTTTTGCCCCTCCCCCTGCTTGTACTGTCTCTCTAAATAAATAAACTCTTTAAAAAACATATTTAAGGGGCGCCTGGGTGGCTCAGTGGGTTAAAGCCTCTGCCTTCGGCTCAGGTCATGATCCCAGGGTCCTGGGATCGAGCCCCACATTGGTCTCTCTGCTCTGCAGGGACCCTGCTTCCTCCTCTCTCTCTCTCTCTCTCTGCCTGCCTCTCTGCCTACTTGTGATCTCTGTCTGTCAAATAAATAAATAAAATCTTTTAAAAAAACCAAAAACATATTTAAAAAGACAGCATTAATTCTGAACTCCAGAAAGACTTGACTGAAGTGTAAAGAAAGAACACCTTCATGTGTTGCATTGGTCAACTGTGGAAGCACAGGAGAAAGACAGGGTCAAATCTGGGCAGTGGTCATCTAAATTATTCTCAGGGAACTAAATTTTTCTTCCTTTTTTCCTGAAAACATTATTTACTTATTTATTCAAATTTATTTCCTTCTTTCTTTCTTTCTTTTTAAGATTTTTATTTATTTATTTGACAGAGACACAGTGAGAGAGGGAACACAAGCAGGGGGAGTGGGAGAGGGAGAAGCAGGCTTCCTGCTGAGCAGAGAGCCCAATGTGGGGCTTGATCCCAGGACCCTGAGATCATAACCTGAGCTGAAGGCAGATGCCTAATAATTGAGCCACCCAGATGCCCTGTTATTATTATTATTATTATTATTACTACTACTATTTTTAAGTAATCTCTCTGCCCAGTCTCTCTATGAGGCTCAAACTCACAACTCAAGAGTCCCGCGCTCTCCTAACTCAGCCAGCCAGGTCCCCTACCATATTAAAGTTATACTGCTGATTATTTACAAGAAGGAAATATGCAATTTCTAATCCTGGCCAACGAGACTAGTCATGCTAATCTGGGTACTTATCTATGTGAAATTATAAACCCATTATTGTAAATCAGTGAATTGACAATCTGTGAACATGGTTAATGTGGATCTATTAAGGTAAAGTTAGGTTTCTAAATCTGAAAACCTTAGGGCCATATCCTGGACTGTGATAAAACATCCAAGGTAACTTAGCTGTGAGTCCATTTACGAGAAAGCTAAGCAGCTATCCTGGTCCCTTTCCAGTCTTTCTAACTCCAGCAGCCACCGACCTAGAGATTAAGGCAGAGAAAGGAAAGCAGCAATTATTCTATAGAGTTAGAATTGTGATCATAGAAAACCTCTCTTTCTCCAATGCAAAGTAAAATAGTATTTTAGAGAAGGTCAAAAACTCAGATATCATCTTGATTTTAATACATATGGTGTTTTTTTTCTTTATGTATGTATGTATAATCTCTCAGGACTTAAAGAAATGTATGTCTTTTGATGAGCTGTTGGATAGTAGGCAGTATTCTCTGAGTTTGTGCAGCCTTTTTTCTTTTCGTTTTCCCCTTGTGACTATTATTGGCTGTCTGTCGTAAATCCTGAGTACTGACGGGTGTGTTAGCCTGGTCGGTAAGAGCAAAGGCTCTGGTAACAGCTGATTTACTTCGACGTAGGCTGCACCACTTCAAAACCATGTGACTTTGGGTGAATGGCCCAGTGTCCCTAAGCCTCAGTTTCCTTATCTCTAAAACAGGGCAAGATAATGTTGCCTCTTCTTACAGAACTGTGAGAAATAATTAGATACTGACTGACAGAACACTCTGGCACCTGTAAGTATTTCGTAGATGGTGATGGTGGCAGTAATGGTGATTATAATGATATGAATGAAGAAGTAGATGGTAAGATCTTATAGCTTCTTAAAAATACCCTCCAGGGGGCCTGGGTGGCTCAGTGGGTTAAAGCCTCCGCCTTCAGTTCAGGTGATGATCCCAGGGTCCTGGGATCGAGCCCCACATTGGACTCTGCTCAGTGGGGAACCTGCTTCCTCCTCTCTCTGCCTGCCTCTCTGCCTACCTGTGATGTCTGTCAAATAAATAAATAAAATCGTTTAAAAAAAACCCCTCTTAGGACGCCTGGGTGGCTCAGTTGGTTAAGCAGCTGCCTTCGGCTCAGGTCATGATCCCAGCGTCCTGGGATCGAGTCCCACATCGGGCTCCTTGCTCATCAGGGAGCCTGCTTCTCCCTCTGCCTCTGCCTGCCATTCTGTCTGCCTGTGCTTGCTCTCTCTCCCTCTCTCTCTCTGACAAATAAATAAAATCTTTAAAAAAAAAAAAAAAAAAACCCTCTAAATATGATTGCTTTTATGCTCTATCCTTTTTAGTAGCTAATTAAGAAAATAAGTTAATAAAAAAGTGTACAAGAAGGGAGATTTTAAAACTGAACTTTATTTTTTTTTTAAAGATTTTGTTTACTTATTTGAGAGAGAGAGACAGCCAGAGAGAGCATGAGAGAGGAGAAGGTCTGAGGGAGAATCAGACTTCCTGTGGAGCTGGGAGCCCAATGTGGGACTTGATCCCAGGACTCTGGGATCATGACCTGAGCTGAAGGCAGATGCTTAACCCACTGAGTCACCCAGGCGCCCTAAAACTGAACTTTATAGAACCTTAAGACTTTAATAATTCAGGCTTGTCATAATTACCTTTTTTTTTTCAAGTACTGAAGAATTCTTGGGCAAATATTATTGAGTGACATAAAAATAGATGTTCTAATTTCAGTTCATTATTGGCAGGAGAAAATGGTAGAGGAAGATTTAAGATTCTGTTATTTACCCAATTACTGAAAACATCTATTTTATTTGGCTATGGTGAAGAATCCAGGTATTGCTAAGTTGCTTTCCAAATCATACAGTTGTAAAGTTAGGATTTTAGATTTGGGAAGGAAATTGGAAATCATTAAATTTTCACTTTATGAATTCCGCCCTGTTTTAGAGAGAGGAATTTGAGGCCTAGAGAGTTGCAGATTGTTTTAATATCACGTGAAGATTAATGACTGAGCAAGTTTTTCTTTTTACTATACCATGTTAAAGTGTACTGCCAACTATTTAAGGAAAGAAATATGCAGGTTCTTTTTTGGTTTAAGGTTTTACTTATTTAGAGAGTGAAAGAGAGCGAGAGCGGGAGTGAGAGTGCACGAGTGAGCAGGGCAGGGGTTGGGGAGCAGAGGGAGAGAGACAATTCCAATTTGACTCCGAGCTTATGGGGAACCCAAGGTGGGGCTCAATCCCAGAACCCTGAGATCATGACCTGAGCTGAAATCAAGAGTTCGTCAGACACCCTGAAGTATGCAGTTTCTAATCCTGATACAAGATTTGGGTTTATAAATTTCTAATTGACAGGTAAAGTAGATATACTTAATTATATTCAGTTTAACAGATTTGTATGTATAGTGCCTTTAAATATTCTCTATCTAGTCTCCTCTAAATTTTGATTTTAGCAATTTTAATTTCTGACATTAGACAACTTTTTTTTTTTCTTAAGATTTTATTTATTTATTTGACACAGAGAGAGAGAGAGAAAGATCACAAGTAGGCAAAGAGGCAGGCAGAGAGAGGTGGGCGTCGGGGAAGGAGGCTCCCTGCTGAGCAGAGAGCCCGATGTGGGGCTTGATCCCAGGACCCTGAGATCATGACCTGAGCCGAAGACAGAGGCTTAACCCACTGAGCCACCCAGGTGCCACAGACAACTTTTTAAATTAAAAAATATTAAAGCCAGGGTACCTGGGTGCCTCAGTTGTTAAGCATCTGCCTTCAGCTCACGTCATGATCCCAGAGTTCTGGGATCAAGTCCCACATCAGCCTTTCTGCTCAGCAGGGATTCTGCTTCTCCCTCTACTTCTGCTCTCTCTCTCTCAGATAAATAAAATCTTTAAAAAAAATTAAAGTCAAACAATATATAAATGTGAACATAAAATTGCATATAAAATTGCATAGCCTGATTCAACAAATATCTGAGAGAAGAGAAGCATCTGTAATCATTAGTGACTAAAACAGTATTTAAAACATTTATCTTTACCATTATATACTGAATATAGCAAATACATGTTCATTTAGAGATAAATACTAAATTCTAAAGAAGGGAGAACATTTTTAAATATACTTATTAAATACTTAATTCCTCTTTCTGTCAGTACACTGTGTGTAGGTTATACAATACAATATGAAAAAATATATTATTGTAGTTTACTTCCAAAGCAAAAATTGAGAAAGTTAAGGTTATAGGAACTCAAATTTCTTTTGATTATACGTTTATGGTGTGTAAGACAACATTTATTGATGTGAAATTTTACTTTCGAATTCTTGTTTTTCCTTGATAAAATACTATTTGTTCTCCAATTCGAGAAAACATTGTGCAGATGGGGGTTCCTGGGTGGCTCAGTGGTTTAAGCCTCTGCCTTCGGTTTAGGTCATGATCTTGGGGTCCTGGCATCGGGCCCTGTATCGGGCTCTCTGCTCAGCAAGGGTCTGCTTCCCACTCTCTCTCGGCCTGCCTCTCTGCCTACTTGTGATCCCTCTCTCTATATCAAATAAATAAAATCTTCAAAGAAAATTAAAAATAAAATAAAAAATAAAAAAAGAAATGCAGATGGACTTACTACATTAATGATTCAGGTATGTTTTTTTTAATTTAATTGTAGCTATATCACATAATTTGGTGTTTAAATGAACAAGTTTGATTGGCACTTAAATTTTTCAAAATTCTGAATTGAAAATTCTCTATGTTTTGTTATGGCATAATCTTATACCTGAAAATAGAGTAATTCTGAGTTGAGAAATCATATGTATTATTTCATGCTGTCTTATTTGCTAAGTACGTTTTGTCCTTGTAATTTAATATTTAAAGGAATCCTTAACATTTTAATCTTTTAGTTTATCCACACTTATGTAATTTTAAGCTTCTTTTATGGAGTTGAAATTCTAACTATGCTTAATAATAAATTAAGCAAGGCATTTAATGAGGTGTCTAGGTAATATTTTGAATAATTTCATTCTTCCATTCTTTATGTGCATGTAACTGGAAAATTAAGGGTGGCTTCTAAGGGACCTGCCACAAAAATAGGAGTAATATGATCTCTTTTAAAGCACTGAAGGAGTGCAGCCAGTGTTCATTATTCTCCCAATAGAAATTTTCAGCACTTACTTGCCTGGAAAGTTAGGATAGAATCAGATGTATCTTTAATGCTAGATGCCCCTTTTTTGCATAAGCATATTGTAGGCTGACTTTAAGGTACAAATGTAGAGGATTTACAGAAATGTGTAAATGCATTTATGGATTTTCTAGTTATATCTAGAAATTATATTCAGATTATAGTACAATAACTTTGTATACTTGTTAAATCACTAACAGTGGTTTAAAACCATAACTAAATGATACATCATAGTTTTATTTAAAAAAGACATTCTAATTTTAGAAACAGATTGTTTTGATTGAATAAAATATCTCATTTTTCCTTTCAAAATAATTCATTGAACCCATGATGCTATGATAGTTGAAGATTTTTGAACTACGTTTCCAAAAAATTGTCTTATAAAATGTACATTTACAGTGTGATGAAATAAAGGGTGCATAGCTTATTTATCCAATGTTTAAATACCCATAGAAGAAAATGAATTTAATATAATGTAGTTGTGTTAATTGGCTAGAGTACAGGAAAATTTGTATTTGTATGGTTTTTCTATCTTTTTTGTATAGTTGTTGTTTTTTTTAAGATTTTATTTATTTATTTGTCAGAGAGAGAGGAGCGAGAGTGAGCACAAGCAGACAGAGTGGCAGGCAGAGGCAGAGGGAGAAGCAGGCTCCCCGCCAAGCAAGGAGCCCGATGTGGGACTTGATCCCAGGACGCTGGGATCATGACCCGAGCTGAAGGCAGCTGCTTAACCAATTGAGCCACCCAGGCATCCCTGTATAGTTTTTCTAATGCAACATTATCCAAGAAGAAATGTGATACAAACCATATATGCGATTTTATTTTATTTTTAAATTAAAACAAATTCTTTTGTTGAAATATAGTTGACATACAACATTACATTAGTTTCAGATGTACAGCAGAGATTCAGCAAGTCTATATGTTATCCACAGTTTGTAATTTTCAATTTTCTACTAGCCACTTTAAAAAAGTTGAAAAAAAAAATAGGGCACCTGGGTAGCTGTCGTTTAAGCCTCTATCTCTTGGTTTTGGCTCAAGTCATGATCTCAGGGCCCTGGGATTGAGCCCTGTGTCAGCCCCACACTAAGAATGGAGTCTGCTTAAGATTCTCTCTCTCCATCTCCCCCTGTCTCCATTAATCTCAAGTGCCTGATTGCTCTCTCTCCCTAAATAAAAATAAGTTTGAAAATCTAAAAAAAAAAGGTTAAAAAAATTGAATTAAAAAAACAAAAATAAACAGTTGTAATTAATTCTAATGATATAATTTAATTAACCCAGTATATTAAAATGTTATCATTTTAACATATAATCAATATAGAATTGTTATGAGATATTTGTGTTTTTTGTACTAAGCCTTTGAAATCAGGAATGTATTTTACATTTATAGCTTATCTCAATTCTGATGCCAAATTTTAATTGAAAATACTTGATTTGTATTTAGCTTTCATAAACTTTACAATTGAATAGATACTCTGTATTCCAAACATTCTAAAATGTTTTCAATAATTGAATCAAATATCAGTTGTTTTTTTTCCAAGTATCACCTTTTAAATTTAATTTCAGATTGATGAATTGAGTTTCTTAACCATCCTAGCTGCATTTCAGGAGCTTGTCAGCTACATGTTGTTAGTGCTCATTGTAGCAGAAGCACAATTACAGAGGTAGTTTGGCAATACCCATGAAAACATAAAATGTGTTTAACCTTTGAACTAGCAATCCCACTTCTAAGAATCTAGAGATATGGAAAAAAATGTGTAATATAATGTTCTTTGGGACATTTTGTTTTCAAAGAAAAATTGAAGACAAATGAAAGGGAACTCCAAGTAAGTTTGGATAGATAATACAAAAGAAGATGCCTCAGTCATTAAGAAATTAATGAAGTAGTAAAATTGGCCAAATTTCTGTGGTATTTCGATGGCATAATGACTGAAGGGCAAATAGAATTTTAGTTGGTCAATAGACATAGTAGTCATATTGCTAATTTTATTACATTTAGAGGTAAAATCTTATTTTCCAAGATTTTGATTAGGATCAGTTTTATATCTTAACACTTTTAAGTAACAGAGTATAGGCTAAATATATACCCCATGGTCCTAGTTTCTATTAGTTGGGTAACCACCTCTTGCTGGCGTGGTTTTTTTTTTTTTTTTAAGATTTTATTTGTAGGAATGTCTGAGTGGCTGGCTCAGTCTGATAAGTGTCTTTTTTTTGCTCAGGTCATGACCCCAGGGTCCTGGGATCAAGTCCCCATATCAGGCTTCTTGCTCAGTGGGGAGCCTGCTTCTCCCTCTGCCTGCCGCTCCCCTTGCTCATTCTCTCTGACAAACAAATAAAATCTTAAAAAAAAAAAAATTTATTTATTTGATAGTGCATTCAAGAGAGCACAGGCGGGGAGAGGCAGAGGGAAAGAGAGAAGCAGGCTCCCTAATGAGGGAGGCCCAAGTGGGGCTTGATCCCAGGACCCTGAGCCACCCAGACACCACCTGTTGATTTTTTTGTTTTTGTTTTTTAAACTTAACTGCAGGTTTTTTTTGAAGTTCAAGAGTAGCAAGATAAGATCTTTGGAAGAAAGGAGAATATAAATCTTGAAAAATGGAATAATTGAAAGACTGCCCTTTCAGGGTGACATTTAAAAATACTTGGATTCTGATTGTTAATTGAATTGGGTGTCAGAAATGTTTGATACCAGTTTTATAATTACATGAAGATGGGTGAAACTGAGCTGCTTAGTTTTATGATACTCTAGGGCATTCCAGATGAATGTGTTGTTGAAAGTGTTTGAAACATAAGTAGTGGTCTGTAGGAGATTGCTAAATAATTTGTAAAAGGTGTGAAGACACACAGTCTGAATTGGTTCTGTTGAGTTATGAAAAGTAAAAATTCCTTGATTGTGAAAATAAGTGATTTTTTTCCAGAAAACTCATTTTGTTATATGCATTTTAAATAATTGATATGTTTTGTTATGCTACAATAGCCATTGAAAGGATCTTTTTTTTCATTAGCATCTTATTTACAAGTACGATTAGCTTCTATTTTAAGAGTAAGTTCTATTAGAAAAATAATTGTAGGGACACCTGGGTGTCTCAATGGTTTAAGCCTCTGCCTTCTGCTCAGGTCATGATCTCAGGGTCCTGGGCTCCAGCCCGGCATCGGCATCGGCATCGGCATCGGCATCGGCATCGGCATCGGCATTGGGCTCTCTGCTCAGCGGGGAGCCTGCTTCCCCCTCTCTGTCTGCCTGCCTCTCTGCCTACTTGTGATCTCTCTGTCTCTGTCAAGTAAATAAATAAAATCTTTAAAAAATAATTGTAATAGATATTTGGAATTTGAAGTGTAACTCCTTTAGAAACAATTCTGTGAAGGTTGGTTTTGGTTCTCAGGGCGCCTCTCCAGAAGCAGTTTGAGACATCATTTATACAGAGTCAATGGCATTGACCTGACTTTAAGTCTTAGAAGCAAGGCTGCAGGTGGTAAGAGGTGAGGAGAGAACATGCTTTACTTCATTTTGGTTTGTAGGGCTACAGGCATTCTAAAGAGAAACATTTTTTTTAAGATTTTATTTATTTATTTGATAGAGATCACAAGTAGGCAGAGATAGGCAGAGAGGTGGGACCTGAGCAGAGAGCCTGATGTGGGGCTCGATCCCAGAGCCCTGAGACCATGACCTGAGCCAAAGGCAGAGGCTTTAACCCACTGAGCCACCCAGGCACCCAGAGAAACATTTTCTTCGGACACCTTCCTCCTTCCTTTCTACAAAGTATTTCACTCTTTCCAGCTCATAGGTTTCTAAAATGTTCTGTGTAATTTATTTTCAACTCTTGTTTTTTTTCATCCTTTACAGATATAAATGAAGTTAAACTAATTAGAAAGCTGGTTCCTGAAAACATTGACACGTACCTTATCCACATGGCACTTGAGATCCTGGGAAAAGACTGTGACAACAGACTGTTAGACCAGCTTTCATGTACTTCCAACAGAAAGAGATATTTCCCCAACTCTGAAGAGAGCTGTTCAAGTTCTAAGAGAAGCAGGGAAGAAGTAGGCGCTAATACCAAGGTGTTAATTATATGTAGAATTTTCATACATTGTCGGTTGGTTCGATTTACATATTCTAACACTAAAATGCTGTATTTTTTAAACTGCTATAAATTCAGATATAAGGTTACTTTTTAAAATCTGTGCTCTATTTCCTTTGTTTTTCATAAATCTTATCTGAGAAAAGTGATTTTTTTAAACAACAGAAAAAGGGAAATGTAGCCCATCTATTTAGCTTTTTGTGTGGAATGTCAGCTGAAATTTTACTTCTACCTCATACCGATTATATATATATATATATATATAGTGGAAATCCTTTTTCTTTCATAGACATAGTATTGGCTTTGAACTTACGGCAGTTTATGTAGTTAATGAAAATGAAAACAAATTCCATTATGAATACCCCCAAAACTAGTTTGTCTATCGTTCTGTCATTCCTCCTGCTTTGTTCTTGTCATACTGAATCTCTTAGGTACAAGGAAAATTGTTGCCCATGGTCCTGCGCATATACCATACATATTTCTGAGAAAGACCATGAATTTAGTATTATTTCGTATTATTTTAGTTTTATTAAAATGCTTTGGAAATTACTGCTCTGTATGTTGTATGAGATAACTATTTTTTGATGATGATTCTATTAAATGATTGTATAAATTTGAAAATTTAGTCTTTGTTATCTTCCAGGTCTAAAATTTTATGATTCTGTGATAAAAGTTGTGAAAACTAGTGATTTACAAAAAAACTATTTTAGTTTCTAGATCATAAATTGAGCATGGTAGTAGGTGTTTTCTCATAATGTGCATTAGGGATTCCATTCCAGTTTCAAGATAGTCTTTATAGATTTCCAAGAGTTAAACCCATTTTCTCAATAGCTTAAAAATAAGAGGAGCTTTATATTCTGTACTTCAGTTAGGCTTGTATACAGACATGTGATAGATAACCTAATGAAATTTGATTAATTGGAAGTCTTTACATTATTTAGTCAATTGAAGTAGCTGTGGGAAGGATATTAAAGAAAATAATGTTGGGTGGTAGTAGTGAAATTTGGCCTCTATTCCCAGCCTTTTATTTCTGAAATCTATACCAGATGCCTAAAACCTTGTTTTTTCCCAGCTTCTACCTATCAGTAAAGGAAGAGGTGAACTTGTTATTTTTTCCTGATTATTGATGCACATTTATATGAATTATTATTTTAGTCACATATTAGCGTTTGGCTTTTCCCTTATTGAAATACTATCAGACGCTGACAACAGAGTGGGGAGATTTTGGCGGTGGTGGGTGGATGGGTAGAAGTCATGCTGAGCCTACTGGATTTACCCCCCCCCCCCCATTTAGGGGAACAAGGATATTGGGGATAGGAAGTAGATTAAGAGATGAGTGAGCCAGCCTAAGTATTTTTCTTTCATCCGACTCCCAAGTACAGAAGGCTGCTTCGAATATACTGTAGTCTGTTGGAGGGCTGGTGTCAGATCTTTCCTGTTAACATTCATCTTCTCTGCTGACCTGGATTATATCTCTTAATTTGTTTCATTGGATGAATATGAGGCTTCTGATAAAGAATAATGTCAAAACAAATTCTTTGTATTTGTTGGTACATTGTTAGTTTTACGCCTATTGTGATTACTGTTAAGATAGAAGCTCCATGATGCCTTTGTTTAATGAAGAAAGATTCCGTCTTGATATTGGTAGTTCTGATTCAAAATATGCAGGTACACAGTGGATTCTTTGAGTACATCTTTTTTTTTTTTTAATTTCTGGAAAGTCTTCTTAAATTTTGCTTCTTAGAATTTGTCCCATTGCTTTATATTTCTTCTTCAGGGACTTCGACTATATGTTGGATCTTCTTTGCCTAGCTGCAATATTTGTCACTTTCCATGAATTCTTTCTAGTTTTCCATTTCTCCTTAATTTAAAATTTTCTTCATTTTCTTCTTTTTCACCTCCTATTTCTCTGGACAGACTCTGTTATGTTTATTGCTATGTTCCTTCTAGTTTAGTATTCACTTCTTTACATTTTTCCTTTTGCTTCTAATTCTTAACTAAACTTTTCTCCTCCATTTTGAATTTTTCTGATTTTGATGTTCTTTCATGTTTTGAATAATTTTCTTAATGTTTTTCAACTCATTTAAGAGGTTACAGTTTTATTCTGTATCTTAGCAACTCTTCCGGTGTCCCATTTGATTTTAATACTTTCCTGTTGTTCTTTTTCATGTGAAATTAGTTTTCCTGCACTTTAAAAGAAAGCATGTTTCAAGGTAGTTTTTCCCAAGTTCACAGAGCTCTCCCTTCTGGTATTTTGTGTAATTTTTCAAAATATGGAGACTTAGTTTATGAGATATACTTTTTTGTCACTCTTCCCTTTGTCTCTGTTTTACCTGAACTGCTGATTCGATTTCACCCAGTAGTTCTCCCAGAAGGCATTGTGGTAGCTGGTCAGGAGCGTTCACAGGAACCGATTGCGTTAGCTGAAGACACCATTTATAAGTCATTTGCTGTTGGGGTAGGCAGAAGCCCTCTCATTTTCAGTTGTTGTTTTCCCATTAATCTATTATGGTTTCTGATGTCTGTCTGTAGGCTACTTTGTGGTTCTTCTGTTCTTGGGCACCTCACTGCTTGCCTCTGCTTTCTCTTGTCTAAGCAAGTGGTACTCTGCAGGTCTTATGGCTGGTGGTGGTTTATCCTCACATGCTCAGAGTTTGGATTTCTTTGGGATACCTTTAAACTTAGTTTTATTGTAAATGTAGATTATGAGTTCAGAGTTTTCCTGTCAATTCTGTTTTAATGGTGGACTTCAGAGAGATTAAAACACTATGCTGCTGCTTCCACCATCTTCCCAGAACCCTCTCCCCCAAATCACCTTTTTTCTTCCTTATTTTTCTTCACTGCCTAAGAAAGTATGTGATATTTTCTGCCCTGCCACTAAGCTTCATTATAAATTAAAATGTACAATATTATTTATAAACTGTTTTGAGATACTCAGAAAAAAATGCCTTACAAATAATATTATAATTATTATTATTAAAATTCAGTACTTCAGAACAATTAGAATTTTCTTAAGCTTTGCCTTTTTAGGCATAGTTTTTGTTTTGTGTTGTTCTCTAAGAAAATAGCGCATACTGTAACTATTTTGTGTTTTATAATAATATTAAAGGTTGATCGAAAACATCCTTGTGATTTTTCACCAAAAGATGAAAGTCACAGAAATTCCCTAAGACTAACTTCTTGGAATCAGCCAACCAGCGATTCAAAAACAGATTTATTTACGGATTCTCATTTAATTCTTAATTAAGATTAAATTAATAAAGTAGTTTTCATGATAACTATATCCAACTTGATAATTATTATTTTTAGATTTGTCTTAGTGTAGATGAAATTAAATGTGAATATAACATATATATTTCTCTGTTTGCTTACATATATATGCTCACATATACTCAACAAACGAGTTAATGTTTTGTATTTTCAATTTAATGATATTTGTTAATAGAATTTGGAGTATCAGAAAACCCCCCTGAAAATCTCACTATGATTTCTGGGAATTTTGGTTGACTACTAAAGAAGGAAGTAGTCACTGAAAGGCATTGTTTCTGTTAGGTGACTCAGTTCTCATAATTAAAGTCTCTCCAAAAACTTGTTGTTGAGACTCAAAAGATATAGTCAGTGTAAATAAGCACTTTCCCTCCTTCTCAGTGAAACAAGATCATTATTATAATAGTGTGGTAAATACTGAAGGTCATATTCTGTAGAAATATTACAGAAGATAGAACATTTTCAGTGATATTAGCTACTAATTAATGATAATAATAATTAATTAATGATAATTCGCTACTAATTAATAATAAGTCTTTAATGCCAAGACTAAATCAGGATGTGTTTTGAGAGCTTGCATGTATTCTCATTCGACCCTCCAGGTAATCCAGTGATGTTATGTACTGTTATTCTCATTTTCTGTGTGAAGAAACTGAGGCTGAAATAACATTTGTAAGGCCATACATTTAGCAAGTGACTCAATTGGAGTCAAACCTAATTCTGTCTTGGTTGGCAGTCCCTATGTATTCCATGGTATTCAGCTGCAAGACTTGGGGTTTTTTCTCTGCTCTGTTCCTGTGCAGATGTCATGTTCTGTTCTGCTTTTTGGTTTTGTTATCATGTTAACTTCTTTCCTTTCTCCAGATGCACACAGGTGTTCCAGCTATAATTGCAAACAACTGTAGGCTCCGAGGGATTGTGTTAGTAAGATCTTAAGGGAAGGGGTGCCTGGGTGGCTCAGTGGGTTAAACCTCTGCCTTTGGCTCAGGTCGTGATTCCAGGGTCCTGGGATTGAGCCCCACATTGGGCTCTCTGCTCAGTGGGGAGCCTGCTTCCTCCTCTCTCTCTACCTGCTTCTCTGCCTACTTGCGATCTCGTTTGTCAAATAAATAAATAAAATATTTAAAAAAAAAGATTTTAAGGGAAGAATAAATATTTCTGGACCAATTTGATCTCTGCCCAAATGCCTTTTGTCTGTGGCATTATATATTGCCAGTATTTATTATTTCTGAGTCAAATATCGTCTCATGCAGTCTATGTAAATCTAATCTGTTCTCCTGGACTTCTCTTCCCTGTGAGGAAATTTGCTATCCTTAGCCTGTTTTTTTTTCTTTAGCTTTATTACTAAAGTGTGAGTAGCTCTTTCTTCTTCATTGGATTTCTTTAATTAAGCCAAAAGAGCTAATAGGGTTTTGGGTTTTTTTAACCTTTTCTAAATATATGTTTTCACAGTTTTCTGTGAAGGATCTTTGACTTTTTTCCCCACTCTTAAATCTTTTGAAACCATTTTTAAACATAGAAAATGTAACAAAACATAGCAGGTAATTGACGAACCGTATATATTTTTCATTCTGGAAATTGAATAAATTATGCTTTTTTACCTTCAACTAACAGACACATTATAACTTAGATTGAGGTCACCTTATCATAAAGTCCTTCAGATAGTTCCAATAACTAAATTAACTGCTGGATTCCAAGGTGTGCTTACATTGGAATGATTTGTCTGTCATGTTGGTTTGAGACTCTTGTCAAACTGAGATAACAATAATTACTACCAGTTTATGCTTATGGAACATAACTAAAAATTGTTTTATCTTTTTCAAGCGCAGATCACATAATACACAACCACTGCCTTTGGGTTCCTAAATTTTTTTTCAGGGACTTTTAACTTAGGGTCCTGAGGCTTCATTTGGTGCCTAAGTCTCCTAAAATTGTGCAAAGTATTACGTATGTGTACATTTAGAAGTGAATCTCCAGGGGCGCCTGGGTGGCTCAGTGGGTTAAAGCCTCTGCCTTCGGCCCAGGTCATGATCCCAGAGTCCTGGGATCGAGCCCTGCATTGGGCTCTCTGCTCAGCGGGGAGCCTGCTTCCCCCTCTCTCTCTGCCTGCCTCTCTGCCTACTTGTGATCTCTGTCTGTCAAATAAATAAATAAAATCTTAAAAAAAAAAAAAGTGAATCTCCAGTTTTTAGCAGATTTCAAAAGACTCTTTGAAACAATTTTTTTCATTTATTTCAGTGACTGTTTTTTGAGTATCTGTTATGTCCCAGCAACTCTGCAAGGCACTGATAGTGTTTGAATCACTCTGCTAGTCAGTCAACCTTTGGAGACATAGAAGTACATGCTTTTTCAAACACCTAATGTGATACTGTGTGTGTCTGTGTTTGTGTGTATGTGTGGGTGTCTGTGCATGTGTGTGCGCCTGAGCAGATGCCTTCCTCAGAACATTAAATTAACCATCTTGGTCAGCCCAAACCAAGTACACATGAGACAGAAATCTGAAATAGTATCTAGTTCTTTCCTTCTCAAATGTGTATGTACACTTGAGTGCCGGAGAACAGATAACAAGATGGCAGGAAATTGCCTGAAGAAATGATAGAGTGATTTTTGTCTTTTATTTACTTTTTGATCTAGAAGTAAATTCTGTGGCTCTCACTATTTTGTTTTACTCTACAAGGGAAGGTAGTAGGTGTATATACAGTAACCTATGTTACTTTTTACAACTGACACACATTTTCAACATTAACATATGTCTTTTTCTGTTTCTTTCCTATAGCCTGCTTCTGTAACCTCAAAGAGAAAATTACCTGAGTGGTTTGCCAAAGGCAGTGAGACTTCAGCTGACACCAGCAAGAAATCAATGGCCAGAACAAAAAAGAAAGGTCTTTTTAGTTAAACTGTCAATTGCCAGAGGAATTGTGTGTGTCTTACTGTATTAGAAGAGGGGAGCTGTGTTTCATTTCTGAAAATAGTGGTGACGAGTACTTCAGTTTACAAATTATTCTAATCTCAAAAGTCAGACTAACCCATTTGTTGAACAGCTAACATCTTAAAACAGCCTTGTGCAGTTTACTAAAGTTGAGTCTTCTGAGAGCCTGAGTGAGTAATCATAGAATAGAATAAATACATTAATCTCCTTTACGCTTCTCTAAGAAACCGTTACTGCTCTGTTTCCTAATCTCTTTATTTCAGCAGTATGTTTAAGGGGGGCCGATTTGATATAAATAACAGACTGGTGGTTGTAGGATGATTACGTGTGCGATAGAAAATCTTCATATATTACCAGCTTTCTTTCTTGTGAACGAAGGAAGCATAGTTATTTTTACAAATTGTCCTTACCATCTTTACAAGAAACTCTTACACACATTGATAAATGGTATTAGTGGAACAGACCAGTGAAAATGAAACATTCTGGGTTCCATGCATGTAGAGAAAAATAATGTAGCAAAGGAGACCAACTTCACTAGGTAACCATGCACTTTGTATTTTGTATACTATTTCTATTATCTTTCAAGTACTAAATTCCTTCATACTGAATATTACAAAATATATATATGTTATATATGCATTATATATATGTGTGCGTGTATATATATATATTTTTTTAACTTTTACGTAATTACCTTGAGCACTTTCAGTTTTTGAGGATGTTGGAGTTTGATTGTAATCCCTCTTTATGTAGCACATGTGACTTCGCTATCGAAACCCATACTCTGACGCTGAGTTTGGTAAACCATGGTTAATAACACTTTAACCAGTTCACCTTACGGACTTTAACTGATGTTTTTGTAACTAAAAATCACTGTTAATAAAGAAGAAATATTGTAGGAGAACTAGAAAATCTGGAGAGATGAAAAGAAGAAAATAAAAATCACTGGTGGTTGTACCCAGCAGATCATCAGTTAACCCCTTCTGTGTATCCTGCTGAGCCTCTGTATTCACTGCTTTTCTTAGTTTGATACATGAATAATAATGTGTTTTCTTTGTAAAACATTTAAGTTAAAACACAAAAGGTCCCTGTATTCCCATTTTCCTACATCTCATTACCATTCCCTTTCCAGAAAGTATCTCCTATTAAGTACGTGACTTACAGTTCTCTAGTCATTCCTTACGCATTTACATGCCTTTGCTTATATATCTACACATACGTTCCTGTTTTTTAAAGTGAGTTAGATCATGCTGTATGCAACTTTCTGCAGCAAACTCTTTTCACTTAATATGTCATGAAGAACTTCCCATGTCAGTATATATATTGGTCTGTCTCATTCTTTTTTACAGCTACCTACCATTCTATATTGGTGAATATATTATATTTTATATAATCACTTTCCTATTGGTGATTTTTGTCTTTTTTTTCTACTTTAGTTTATTTCTAGAAGTAGAATTAGAGACTGAAATTTATATTTCACTGAATATATTATGAATATTTTTTTTTCCATGTCATTAAATCGTTTTCCACAGAATCTTTTTTGGTGGCTTTTTATAGTACAGTGATTCTCAAAGTGTGGTCTGCAGCCTTTTAGGAGTTTTTGAGACTCCTTCAGGGAATTTGCAAAGGAAAACTATTTTCATAATACCAAGATGTGATTTGCCTTTTGTCCTATGTTTTTTCCATTGAGGGTGCAAAGCAGTCGTGAGTAAAACCGCTGGTACTTAAGTGCAAATCAAGACAGTGACACCAGATTACTGATTTTATTAATTCTCAGTCCTTAAACACATCTTTTCAATCTTTTATGTGATGAAGTGGCGAGTATGTATAAAACACTTCTGCTCTGTACCAAAGTGTGATGGTTGTCTCCAGGAAAAACTCTTGTTTGAATTGTGAATTGAATTAGTTCTTTTTCCATGGAATACCATTTCTTACTGAAAAGAATGACTGATAGAAAACTATGATTGGTTATTGAGACTTGGGCATTTGGTGGATATTTTCTCAAAATTGAATGAAGTCATCCTGTCACTTCAAGGAAAACTGATGGTTATTTGTTGGCAATGATAAAATTTGAGATTTCTGGCAGAATTTATAGTTTTGGAAAACTTGTGTCTGCTGCCAGGAGTTTGAAAGCTTCCAATAATATAAAGGCTTTTCTAATGAGATATTATTCATACGATTAACAAACTTTTTAGAAGATCTACACAACCCAGTGCACTCCAGTATTTTCTAGGTGACTAATACGTGATCTTAAAAAATCATGCATAAGTAAAAGAGTCATCCAAACTACATAGTGGCCCAGTGGATTTTAATGTAGCAGAGTATGAAAACATTTATTTATATGGATTCAGATTGTACACTGCAACCAATCTTTAAGAAACTATAGGTGTCCAGTTGTGGTATAGTTTCAAAGAAGAGTGTCTACAATTATCTGGAAAAGCTATTAAAATACTCTTAATTAAGGTCACACTTTCTTCATATATGTCAACCAAAAGAACATATATTGAATATAGGAGCAGATTGAATGTAGAAGCAGATCTGAGACTCCAGCCACTTCTGTGAAGCCAGACAATGCCATTCTTCTATTTTGTGGGGGATATTTTTGTAAAATTTATTTATGTTATATACTGGATTTACTGCTGTTTTTTTTTAAATTAATAAACATTTCTTAAACATTTCTCAGTGTTATTTCTAAAATGTTAAATAACAATAGATTTAATGCACATTAATGCAAAATCTCTTTTGGGTCCTTAATAATTTTTAAGAATATAAATGAAGCTTGAGATATAGTAGATTGAGAACTGCTGACATAGTATTTTATTATACAGATGTACTATGAATTATTTAGCTGATTTCCTATTGTTGCGCATTAAATCACATCCAGTTTTCTGCTCTTTTAAAGCTCTGCTTTGAATAGTCTTAAAATGAAATATGTTATAATCTCATGCCAAATAGCCAGAGGGAGAGAGTTATTATTTTTTGTCTTGGTTATAATTTCGTATGGACTTTTGGCCTTTTAGCTACATGGCTCTTGATTTATGTTTGAGTTAGCTCCAAGGAGAAAAATTCCAATCTGGATATGGGATTGGCACCAGTGACTTCATGTAAGCTAGTCTTTGGCCGCTGTATTTGGATCTGGCTAAATTAGTCCAATGACAGTGAATCCTGGGACTTTTTATGGTAATGCTGGCACAAATATGTTCTCTTTTCCCTTGCTGATACTAATGAGGAAGCATGAACCTTGGGAACGTTGGAGCAATTTTAGGACCCTGAGGAGTCATCGTTTAGTGAAGCCCCGGTACTGAGGTAGGCACAGTAAAAACCGCAGCAAGTCAGGTTATTGGTGATACTGTCCTGCTACTAGTTCATGCCTTTCCCGAAGTCAGACATATCTTTGAATATTTAATATACACGGGCATTAAATTCCCTTTACTTAGGTTAAACCTGTTTGAATAAGGGTTTTTTGTTCGGTTTTTAACTTAAAATGTTGTGCACTTGTCACCACAGTACGGTCACGTCATTGATAGACACCCCCCAACAACAGGCACAAAAGATAATGATGGTTTTTTTTTTAAATTTATTTATTTATTTGACAGAGATCATAAGTAGGCAGAGAGGCAGGCAGAGAGAGAGAGGGAAGCAGGTTCCCTGCTGAGCAGAGAGCCCCATGCGGGGCTCGATCCCAAAACCCTGAGATCATGACCTGAGCCGAAGGCAGAGGCCTAAACCACTGAGCCACCCAGGTGCCCTGATAATGATGTTTTTTAAATGGCGAAGGATGTGGGAAGCTCATAGAGCTAGTTCCCCAAAGTAGGTGACAAAGCAGTTTGCTCCTTGGTGGAGGGGCAGACTTCCTAACTCTCCAGGTGCCCCATTTCGCCTGCATTCTTTGTGGAACTTCCATATCCTTCCGCTCTCCCCACCCCGTCCAGCTCCCAACCACTCCCTACCAGGAGGGTGAGCTCCCTAGCACTCCCTTCGGCCAGGACGTGCTCCCTATCACGGTCTATCACCAGAGGGCGTTGGGGAGACTCTGCTGTATTCGGCCTTGTCACCAGGTGCAACTGTCTAGTACCAAATGACTCAGTACAGCACAACGTACTAAGAACTGATGAACTGGGCTTTACTTTCCCGGGTGTATTATCATTTCTCAGCTGTGTCAGGCCTCAAGTTTGCCTCAGGTTCGTTCTAAAAAATAAGGAGTTTCTTTTAATGTCTTTGTCTTATGCTATCTCCTCCACAAAGTAGTGCTGATGATCTCTTGTGTTGTCATTTAGAATTCTGACTATGGAGTCAGACAATGCCCTGACGGTTATTTAGAATTTAAAAACAAAAACAAAACAAAAAACCCACAAGTCTATGGTGCTACCAGATACAGTAAGCAAAGAATGTAGGATTCTTCATGTTCAGAGAGGTTGCTATAGAAGTAACTAAGAACATGAAAGATCCAATGGCATGATGGTAAAGTCATTTTAGAGCTAACTAGACATTAAACTGTCATATAGGAAGCAAAACAAAACAAAACAAAACCAACAAAAACACTGAAGAGTGTTCACTACAGTCATGAGGGGAACTGCAAACTTCAGGATCTCAGTTACCTGAAAAGGTGCCACATAGTTTTTTGGGGTAAGTGATCCAAAAATCATTTGGGATAACATACAGACATCCTTAGGTAAATGTGTTTAAACATTGAAAGAAATTATAAATAAGTAGAATATGAAGTAAATTAAACCTTTGGTGGTAGTATTTTAGGGTTAAGGAATAAGAGGTCTATATTTGATAGTGTAAGCATCTGAAATGCTCAGGATAATTTAGCTTTTAGAATAACAGATTATTCTGTTATTGTGGTTCCATTTAAATATGTATCATTGAAAAATTAGCATATGCTTGTTCTTTTAAAGCTGAAATCCTACCAAGTTTGAAACATTATTGGAATATCTAATAAGGATTAAAAAACATGTTATTGCATAGAATTCCATCACCAACAAATTTCATTTGTGAGAGAAAGAAAAAAGATCTAACATTATGCTTACTATTACTACTAAGATTCATATTAATATTAGTATCCATTAAACCCAGAGCTTTCATTGTTTTTCAGAAAATTTATGAAACTTCTGCTTTACATCCAGCTTCATTTTCTAACTCGATTTAAAAGGATTAATGAGAAGTGTGTACTCATTTATTCAATACTTCTTCATTCAGTAAACATTTGCATTCATAGGCTGCAAGACAATAGACTGGCCTCATAAAGAAGGAACAAATAGAAGAAGGAAACACAACATGGATCCCATGCTTAAGAGAGGGGAAGAGTTACGTTGTGAAGAATTAACAAAAAAGCATATCACAAAAATATTTTCTTGCAGCAAACAAAACATTTTGAAGAAGATACATCACATACTCTTTTAAGATATTGAAAAAAATGACCAATGTGGAAGAAAAAAGAGACCGTAAAGGAATCATTAAGGTAATCATTTATTAAGCACTTGCTGTGTACCACACCCTGGACAGTTACTCTTCAGCAGAACATGAAGAGTTAGAATCCTGTATTTGCCTACGTGTATTTGCTTACCTTTGTGTAGACAGAATATAAAAGTGGGGAAAAAGAGATCACAAGATATGAACATGTAACCAAGGAAAACTGGCCCTGGTACTACTTCTCCATCCTCCCCTCCATGAAAGACAAGTATTGGGTGAGAGGGAGAACTTAGTTTGCAAGGGAACACAGCTTGTGGAGGGCAACAAACCACCAACAAATGCACCCGGGGAGAGAGCTGGCATTTGGGTATCTGCCAACGCGCTGAGCAACTGCCAGTCAATTAGAGAAGCAATTGGAATCGAAAAGGAATGAGCAATTCTGCTAGTCAGTTATGGGATTGTGTTTTTCCTCCACTTCCTCCCTCCCCCAACTCCAAAGGGTAAGTATGAAGAAGCGGGAGGTGATTTAGGGGAGACAGCTGCGGCCATCCGTCTAGCATGAGCTGGGGTCGGGGTGAAAGGAAGGAGAACAGTGAATCGTATGTGTGACTGAAGATGGAAAACTGAACTGAGACCATTCCAACATCCCCAAAGGGATGCAAAACCCCGGAATTTAGCTGAAATACAAAGCGAGCCGCTATGTCAAGGGAAGGAGATTTGATACTCTGTGGCAGTTAGAAAAAGTAGAAGTTTATGCTTATACCCCAGCCTGTCCGCCCAGTATGTGGTCATAGGAGCGTAAAGAAGTTGTGGGCTGAGACACTCCTAATGATTAACATTATTTCTGGGGAGTGGAAGGGGATGGCTGGAAGGGCCAGATGTTTCCATTTTTATAATCTCTGTTTTAAATGAAATCTGTATTGCTTTTAAAATTAAAACTGAACTCCCATCCCTAAGATCACATCA